ATACTTTATATACGTGAGGTCATACACGTACGAAGACGTTAAGGTAAGCAGTTACTCGTGAACTCACATGAATTGAGTGTATGAGTGTGTGCGTGTGCATGTGTGTATATATGTGTGTGCATGAGTGAGTGTGTCGTCTTTTAGTGATGCAGTGACACTAGAATGCACATTACTTTGCTCTTTTTTTCTGTATTACCACTTGTATAAATAATAATACTAGTTCTTTACATAGGAAATTAGTATAAAGTTGTAAGCCTTACAAAAAACAGATATTTTCGAAAGGGTAAAGTTCATTCGGTGATAATTTTCATTCTAAGCACTATTTGACGATTAATAATATAATAGTAAAGTAATAATATTACTTTTGAGTATTTTATCAGCTAAGATGAATATTGATTTTGTACAATGTATTAATTAATACATTGTACAACTTTGTACTACGTATCTCATTAATAATTTATTATTACAAATTTTCAAATATGTTAATTTCAATCGATAAGGACAATAGTAATGAATCATAGCATACAAAGTTAAGAGAGAAATCATTTTCCGATCGTACCCTTTCAAATTCTCTGATTGAATTATTTACAATAGAAGGCAAAACTTCCGCATGACTATGTCAGCGTTTGAGAGGACTGATCAAAGTAAGTAAGTAGCAAGCAGTGAATCCTTTCTGAAGAGTAGAGTAGGCGATTCAAATTGACTTGTACTGAATTAATTGCAAGCTGCTAGAATAATTACATTTTAGGAATTCTATACTTGTAATCGTCTGTATTGACGATAAAAGTACAAATTCTTCATTAACTTTTACTTTACAAATATAATTAATTCATTTTGTACATTTAGAAGGACAGTGCTAACAAAGTAAACTGTTTTTTAATGACTGGATTTGATGACTTGACAGAAAGTTACGTGCTGTGCGTGAAGCATCATTTAACGAGGGAGGAAGCATTAAATTAGGCAGTTTACCAGTGCAAGTACAATCAGCAAACAATCAGCTACACTCTTCTAGCTTATTTTCATAGAAAACGACAAGTATTTCAGTAGTTTCTCGGTAATTTTGAATACTGAAGTCAGTTGATTGCATTCAAGGCATCAGTGAACAAGTTAAATGAAACGTAGAAAATGTGCACGTTCATTCGACGAAAAAATCAGCAAGCGCAAGCGGTTGAAAAGAATAAATTTGAAAATTGCTATTGATGACCTGTTCTTCCGTCATGAAACAGAATTTGAAAAGAAAAGAAATTTCAAAATTCACGAAGGACCGAAATAAGACTATTTTTTATTCTAAATGCTCATTTACCCATATATAGAAGAATGTCAATTTTCCTTCACGCATTACTGATTCTGGCGCGACATCATGTTCCGATACTTTGGTTGTACTCGTTCCGTATACAAATTTTGTTGTGCTGGCCTACGTAACTTATCTCGTGGAATCCACAGCTCTGAACAAATGAGACATTTTCGAGCATCATCTTGAGCATTATCGATTACATATATGACTTGACGTGATCAGATATACTGATTTCTTTGATGTAGCTTTTATGAAGTTCGACACTATCGTACCCTAAGTCATCATATACGAAATTATTTTCGTCTTGCATTTCCAAGTTTATTAGCCGGTAAATAATAAATAATAATTTTTTCGATCTGGACTCCTGTCAACCTATCTTGACTAGTGATGCCAATCTCTATCAGGATTACTTCACGTCACTTCTTATTGTATACCAGGATGGTCGATTCGGTCTTATTTTAATTGCATAATGTCGACTCTCATTTTCACGTTCTCATTCGGGATAACCTCGTAAACAGAATGAATTTGCATGCGCGGGAATGCTTTTAGACCATACTTTTTTCAAAATTCCGAACCGCAGCACCACATTGTGTCTTCTAGTATAGTCATGATATAACATTTCCTCGCACTGCGTTGCTATATGGTCCATCGTCTTCACACGTTTCCCAGAATGTTGGCACATGCTTTTCTCAGCTCCATACATATTTCTATCTTGGAGGTAACAGTATTCTGCTTCATCTTTTTGAGTAATCTTTTCGTATCGTAGCCACAATAATGATTCTACCACTAGGACTTGCTCATTACTACACATTCTGCACAACTCTGCAGAATTTTCATTTCTCTCTCACTATGCAAGAGTGCTTTCTGGCCCGTTGATACGCTTTAGCAGTTGGAATGTCTAAGAGGTAAGTCTAAAATGGAGTACGTGGTGTGAGCCTTCTCCTGCTTCAGAATCACTGGTCTTCTGGTGGATATGGGTGCGATATCTACAAGAACGTGAAGCTGAAACAACATAAGTTCATTCCTATGTTCACCATGAAGTATATCATGTCCTAGCTCGTTCCTTGGCAAGTGCAGTCAGTCGTCTCTCTAAACATGTTACTTGCTTGTGAATTCGTATTTGATTAATAACTGTCTGATATCGTGGTCTATAGCTCTGAAGTCTTCTGGTTCCAGCTTGAACACCTCGATATAACAATTTATTAAACTTATTGCGTGTTCATTCACTGCCTTGATAAAGTACTTGCCATTTATTGCAGTTTTGGCTAATCGCTCAATTCTCACCAAAATTCTGTTTGGACCTTTCATGGGCAGGTGCACTAGTCCTGTCTTCTACTATTCCAAGGTATTTGTACCCTTGAGTTCCTTCCAATAGCACCGCTTTATCAGCGCATACCTCGATATTTGCGCTAACATATGTGTGTACAAAAATACACTCAGTAACACAGACAAACACGCAGATACACATGCTGCTAAAATATATGTGCAGAATGAAAGCGATAGAAATAAATGTTACGGAATTACCAGTTTACATTTGCTACATTTTGAGTTTAGTCAATTCTTTTACACTTTGCTTTTACAAATACAAATAGTATTTAAGTATTTTTATAGCAAAATATAAAATAGTGAAGCATTACCTGCTCATTTTGCACTGAAAAAGGTCTGATAGAAAGTAAAGAATGCGTACGTGTACTAAGTAATTAGACTCCATTCTGGCCAGTAGACACTATTTTGCTACGATAATGATTGAATATTTTATCTTCAAATCATTATCAGACTACATTGAATCAAGCAGTGAGTTCATAGACAATAAATTTTCATTCCATTCAAATGCATAGAGATCAATTTAGACTAAATCAAAAATTGTTTGAGAGCAAACTCATAGTTGATCTCAGACTCACTGCAAAATCAAAAAGTTAAACATTTTTAAAACGATTGAAATGTGAACTGCAGCTGAACAATGTGGTACCACAATGATTCAAATGCAAAGAGTAAGATTATGGATTTCGAATCTGGAACAAATCTGTTCTATACTGACAGTAGCCAAGGTCAGGATTGAAGAACGTAGTAGTATGTGAAAAGAAAGATTCAGAAACGTGGGCAGAAGCAACTCAGTTCTAAATAGCACTGCGAATTTTGATACTCTTGTTTATATATAGCTATCGAGAGATGAAAGTTTGGCTCATCACTGCAATTTGTTTATTGCAAATAATAATCTTTATTGTAGAATTATACCAATATTACTAAATAATAATAATGGTAATATAATAATAATATTATTATTTACAAATAATAATACTAATAATAATAATTATTATTATAGAGAATAACGAACAAATGGGGAAGAGCTCAATTTGTTAGTGATCTATTTAAATTATTGTTTTTTATAAAATGTCGAATACTAGATAACATAATAATAGTTACTGTAATTTAGGTTAAAAAACCGTGATTCTATAATGATTGATGGCTGCTCAAATGCAAGCATACAAAAGCAGGCTAAAAACACATGCAGCGCTAGAAGGTATATTACCGACGACGACTGGCGATGTATCTATCACAACTATTTTCTGCGCTCTAAAAACTTCATGCAATGCTGCCTTTTATTTTCGTATGCAAAAAAAAATCTCAATCTGATCAGAATTGTTTTTTGCGAAAAGAAAAAAGTACATAATTTTATTATAATCATATCACAAATAACGGGTCCAAATTTGTGTAGAACAAAGCTGAGATCTAATTTCATGCTTGGAAGTGCTCATTACTCTCTTGAAATTACTTCTTATTGAGTCTTCATAAACCTGACTTCTTGTTCATCTCTTTCTCATTTGACTAAAAATTGCTCATTTATTTTTACTAATTTGATCAAAGATCTGCTCAAGTTTGATCTAAAACTTTTGCACAAAATAATTCTTAAAGCAGAAGATGACGACAAACAAGTTCAAGATGCCTTTCAACATTCCTCAATGCATAAAAAATAAGTACTAAAAAAGTATTTGATAGAAATAATGCCACCAGAATCTGTCTGGCAAAACATTACTGAGTAATATTTAAGTGCATTGTTTGATGCGACCATTTTGCACTGATCACATTCATGTATTTCTCTAAAATTTTCCTTCTTTATCAACGATAAAATGCTACGCGAAAGAACTTGATAGTTTCTGTAAGTGAGAATCACTAGGAAGAATGCCTCTTACACGCCTTTTATTATATAAACTAAATGATAGAATCGAACACCAAAAACACTCTAATATTTTGCATACTCTTTCTTTATCTAAATTTTTTAAATTTACTTTGAAGATATTTGGTTTTAATCTTGTAAGCGTATTTTGAAAAATGAGAAAACGTTCGTTCTTTTCAGAAAAAAATTTACAACATTAATGCTATGTTTACTTTTATTTGACGCATAACGCAAATAGAATACCAATGATCCATTTATCAATTTCAGATAGATATAAACAAATTTTTCTGTATGATCATATTTCAAAATGTACAAATAATACTAGCAGTAAGTCCAGCATAAACAACACTTTTTAGTTTTATCTAACTTTAATATTCCTTCAGAGTCATGAATAATATTTATTCAGTCTTAATTTTACAGTAGTGCTTTTTATGCAGATGCATAAGACAAAATACACAGTTAGCATCAATTTTGTTTGATTTATTCCACTGTGAATGAAGCATGAAACCTCTTAGGCATCACTTTAAGATTTTATTGCTCAATTTTTTCTAAATACTGTTTATCTGACTCTTCCAACGGTATATTTCCGGGTGGCGTGACAAAGTAATCCTCGACAGTCTTAGCAGCATTCATTAGAACCTCATTCTTTGTCATAACATCTTCATCAACGATATCGTCCCGCAATGGACACGGAATATTTTCGAGCAACGTTTCCAATGGTTCAATACCCTGGAAAATTTTCAGAATTTTACTCCTAAAATACAATATAATGAGTAATAGATTCTTTATTAATGGAAAACTGATAACAAATTTTTTGCGATGACAAAAATAAAGGAAAGAGCAGACAGTAAGTACACTTTATCGTGAAACGAATTCGGATAAAATTTTCAGGTAGAAAAATGAATAAAGTCCTGAATGTAGATTAAATGTCTGTAATAAATATCCACACTTTGCTGATAGAGTGACTTCGCAAACGACATGTTCAAATACCTCAACTGAAACGACATTCCGTATTCATAAAAAGTAAAAATATTATTACCGTAGTATCAACAAGTTTAAGTTGATTAGCATACGAAACTGCTTGTTTCAAATTATAAATCGCTTGTTCATCACTGAATCGTACTAAAGAAAGTCTTTCCAAATGAGTGATGAGAGCTTTGTCAAATAAAGGGGGTGCTTCTACTTTACTGACTTCTACCTGAAAAATAAGAATATTTGAACTATTCATGGCAATAATTTAATCTTATCCGCATTCCGTTCATAGCTCCGAGACTGAAATTCCGTCCTTTTTCTATTTGATAGCTTTTCAAACTAAAATGTCAGTACTGCTGAGTTTACTCACATAAACAATGCACAGAACTTTTAACTTTCATCCCTCAAATCAATATCGACCGTTATTTAATAATCCATAAGTTTTGAGAACGGAATTGCACGACTTCTTTTTACGAATGAGTGAAATGAGTTGAATCACTTTTGCTAACAAAATACATACTGGTAATAAGATTACTTAACTAATATTGACATTAATATTGCAGTTTCCAAGACAGATTGCTTTTCTACTTAAAACAAATTACAGAAAAAGGCAAGTGAACCTTGCATTTGGCAATTACTGAAAAACGAACTGGAGAAGGTGTTGGCTCTACAGGTACATACACTTCTGCATTCATAGTCGGCCAAGTCATTTCATCCATATTGTTGGAAGATATACTAATTTGTCTGCATCTTTTAGTCAAGCCTAACTTTGATAAACTCTGGCGAAGCAAATGGAATGAAAGCATAGCTGCATTCTTTCTGACAAAATAAGTTTTCTAAGAACCGTAGGTGCCTCACAACTTACAAATACCAGAACTTTCTTCAATCTGCAAATAACAAATACTAAATAGAAATACAAAGACCCCAATGTCTTTCGTCTTCAACATCCTACGCACACACTCCAAACACCAACATACGGATTAATCGGTTGCAATCAAAGGTCAACGCAGTACAGCCCCAACTTCAGAAAACTGCTAAATACTGATTTGGTATATATAGTACTTATCAACTTATCATTTCCAAATAAGTACTTCCAACCAACCCATCCAGCAAATGTACCGAATACTGCAGAACAAAGTAACCTTGCAACTGAGACAGCATTTCAAAGAACTTTATACGTCACGGATAAGTGAATATTCGAGTTGGAAAAATACTACTTCTTGACAGAAAAGTGATAATTATTTTATAGAATTTAATTCTGGGAATGCCTCATTTTCTGTAAAAAAGTACCGCCTTTAAATCTAAACTCTAAACGGTCACACAATCTTCATACAAAAATTTCCTAGTTAGAATCAAATTATACCATACAAGCGAACCAAGAAAGTGAAAGTAAATTCAATCAGATTGAAAAGGATATAATACTGGAACTAATTAGATCTGTTCTTGAGTATTGATTGTTTACTTCCTACTTTTTTTCAATCCTTCGAGCAACGAAATATTGAGAATCACAATATTAAAGAATTAAAATTGGTTTATATGATATTAAAAACTGGTGTTATTGTGAATAGATGAGAAATGGTACAAAGTTTGAAACACTTTAATCACTTTTATTTTGGAATGCGCGGCGCCTTTTAGTGATATTCACAGTTGGAATACTTCGTTTTCCTACAGGTTCAGTTTCATATTCGCCACTATTCTAAAAAATAATGTAAAGAATTTTTTAATTTAAATGAAATATCTTTGCAATATCTAAAACGACGGCAAAACTAACTTCAGATACTTCTTTTATATCATCTAGATCACACTTTAATGTATCTTTGAGAGCTCCTGGAGAAAGAACAGCAAATGGTGCTTCCAAAATTGAATCCCGAGACTGAAAATAAACACCAGTGAGAAAATTATCACGTCAACAACAGAAATGAGACGTATTAAATGACATAAAAATTAAATCTTTGCTTACACGGTACTGACTAAGCCTTCGAGGTACTTCGTCTTCTCCATTTTCGTTGATTAGGTCAGAGGCACTTGGTATTTCAACTGGTTCCGGTAATATTCTTGGCTCTTCACGTTTTGGTGTTTCACCTCAAACCAAAATTCAAAAATTTTTGTGAATAAAAATACTTACTAAAATAAGATGAAAATTCACTGTGCAAGCAATTCTAAATAACCTCATATATCTTCATAACAAAATTTAGTGGTAATAATAATAGTAATATCTATTAATTCAATAAAAAGTACCAGTGCGAAGAGGACGAACAACCTCATTTTCAACAAGTTGTTTTGTACGAGATAGAGCATTAGACACTTCTGTCGACAATGACGCCGACATATCCCTACCATGTTCCATCTAAATTCTTAGCATTTAAAAATTTTTTCCGCAAAGCAAATATTACAAAAGGAAAAAAAATGGAAAAACGCTAATACTTGATGCATAGCAGCACTGATACTTGAGCTTGCCATTCCATTACAAAGTGCTGACACCACATCCCCTTGCTTTTCAAGATCATTACACACTACTTCCATTGCCTTATATGTCTGCAACATTTTATTATTATCTCACTTCAAAATTTGATATTTAACAAATATACTTTTTAAATTTCATATTCTTTTCACAACTAAGTAATCTCCAAACTTCAACTGCTTCTGCAACTTATAGAAAACAGTAAATTTGCATATTTTAATCAAAAACTGTAACACTTAAAATTCACCTTCTTCACACGTTCAGACTGTGCGTCGATTCTAGCAGAAAATGTTCCTCTTAATGCCTCCCAAACTGACTTATCTGAAAGTATTTCTTCAGCAACTGTCTTTATATATGTATGTTGTTCTTTACATTCCCGTTGCTGCCTGTTTTTCAAGGTCTCTAACTCTTCATACGTTTTTAGTGCATCTTCTTTTGTGGTTTTGATATATGCTTCCATGATATCAGTAATCTAAAATCAAAATTGGATTAAAAATGATAAGACGTTTTACAATCCTAAATGCTGAGTTATACCGTAAAGTAAGATGTATTGTAAATCATATCTCGCAGAGTGATATGAGTATTTGACAAAAGAGCAGTTTTCTGAATACAATAAATGATTATCATTGGTTCCAAAAAATGGTCTAGCCTAAACTAACTTTATTTTTCATTTCTTCCGCACAAGATATGGTACGAATAACATAATTATCGGACACGGCATAGAAATCTTCTCCAAGCTGTTGGAATATTTGTGTCTGCAACAATTACTAAAGCTATGAAAGGCCAAGCTTAGACAAGATAATTATTCTTTCATAACTGCGTTTATATTCCTCCCAATTACAAAACACGACTTCCCCAATACAAAATGTTTAGTTTTTAAAATTATAAGATACATACACTTCTTTTTCCAAATATTACTTACATGATGAGCAATAAAATCAGCAAATCTGCTGTACTGCTCGTGCATTTTCAAGTACGAATTCTCTGCATCTACTGTGAACAAGTGAACTTTGTCCAAAAAATTGACGATGAGAGAATTATCACCATCCTAAACAACACTTTGTGAGTGCTTTGATTTAATATTAGGTATTTTAGTTCGTAGAAAATTACCGTAAAATCGACAAGAGTTTTCAGCTGAAAACGAAGTGACTTTACACAATCTTGAAATACGACGATTTCTTTCCCGAAATCCAATTTTGCTCGTTCTGAAATCATTTAAATAACCGGTGATTTAATGACTGAAACCTAGAGAATGTTTTGAAGGTAAATATATAAAAATGTTTGTACAGAAGAATATGGCATTCATATTGATATAAAATTGGGTTGTTTTCCACAACCTAATATTATACAGAGATATGCTGAAAGTAGTCCATTCACTAGAATCAGAAAGGATTGGCATAAAATGAAGAAATTACCACATTGTTCCGTCATTTGTTGTAACTGGAACTGCAGCTTATTATTCCAATCTTGAATACCTTTCCTGAGTTTATTAGCGTTTTCAGCACTGTCAGCAGTACATCTTATATAGTGATTTTCATTCTCAGAAGCTGCATTTTGGAAAACATCGATTTTGTCAAATGCTTTGTTCAGCTTCCATGTTAGATCTGTGCAGTTTTTACGCAGCTAAAAACAAATTTCAAAGAATCTGAAACGCTTAAATTCCATTACAGTCATTCTTTAGATTAAATGTCCTTCTTAATCAACCTCTTTGTTCTCTGCTTGGCTTTGAATAGCTGACTCCTGAAGTTTTTTCAGTGCCAACTTATGATTTTCCAGCTTTGATTTGCAATTCGCAAGCTCCTTTAAAATCAGTTAGGTTCAATGTGGGAACTATGAAGTGGTGATTCAAATCTTGTGATAAAAAAATTTCAGTACTTGAGATGGAGCATTTGGACATAACTCACAAGTTTAACAGCGGCATTTTCGTTAGAATATTCCTTATATTTTTTTTCCATATGTTTGTAGCGTTCATAAAGTCGACCATAATGTTTGCTCATTAATGCCGAATCTTCCATGTGCTTTAATATTTTGATTTTGAACATGCTAATTGGAAAAATTTTCTTATTCATAAGAATGCCACGGACAATAGGACGCCGCAAAACTATGAAACGTAAACAATCCATTTAGTCAAAAAGTCTACAAGCATATATAAATGTGGAATACTAGTCCTGAGGCTAAAATTTAAAAATAACTTTTTACCAGCTGAACTCGTTCCATGACTGACTGCAGCTCATCGGAGAGGGATTCAATTTGCAGGTTTTGCTGAGCAATTTGAGTATTCAAGTTGCTAAAATTACGTTTGACTACTGAACATCATGCACTATATACAAAAAGAAGCATTTAAACTGAACAGTAAGAAAAACAAATTCAAAGACACAACTTACTCATAATTCTGACGGTCGATGAAAAAGCCGTTTTTGTCACGAGCAGCTTGCAAATCACGCATCAAACGATTCATTTCTTCATTGTATGCCTAAACACCAAAATGTTAGAATCTTTTCTCTACTCTGCTATACGTTCACAATAAATAATTATATAGAAACAAGAAAACAAGTGTATATTAAATAGAAATAGATTTTTCAACTTGGTCTTGAAATTGAAATATTTAAACATGGCAGCCATCAATCAACAATAGTATTAGAATAACTAAGAAAATTATAAAAACAATACTTTAAGTAAGGCCCGATGTGTCAACTTTTGATTAATTTCAGGTTGATTCTTGATATTTTTGGCACTTGAAGCATATTCTAATGTGCTGATGGATTCCTATAAAGAGCAGCGAGAAAAAATATATCCTACATACTTGAAGAGTCGAAAGAATCAAAGCACACAAAGAATGATAGTTACCTCGATGCTCGTCGAAGCAGGCGACATTGTCGCCACTATAGTTGTAATAGTTCTACCGCCCAATGAGTCTTGAAGAATTCTGGTAAGTTTACTCTCTCTAAAATGAACAGAATTATGTCTATCTTTCAAAGAGTTTGAAATACGAATTTGTAGACTCTCTTGACTGAAAGTATGAATTTCAGCAAAATACAATTACTACACCCAACTTAACTTCATTCCTGAACTGATCCTAATTTTATATGATAAATGTACTGTTTCAAAATCTTAACATGTTAGTCCATAAACTTGGACCTCTACACGACTGAAGAAACTCTCATATTATATTAAGTAAATATTACCTGTAAGGGACATGACTTGCCCCTGTTGTCAAAGCCATAATAACTCGACCCAACGTCAATAAAGATTGGTTGATGCTCCCTGTATGAAAAAGATATAAAAAACTCTCTTTAGAAATAATATCAACAGAAAATTAAAGTCAACCTGCTTCTCGCGCTCTCTTATCAACAGAACCAGAACGACCAATATTTTCAGAACCAGCCAAATCGATCAAGCTTAGTTTTCCTTGCTTAATTACTTCTTCTTCACTTACAGTATTTTCTCGGATTACAACTGTTATCGTAAAAACAGTATGAGAACGACTGAAAAATGAACGATGGAATTACGTTACATTTTAAAATTCGAAATATACATTTTTCGATCAATCACAATTACCTTGAATTGAGATTCATTTGAGTAGCAGCAGTGCGACGTTTCTCTGCACCTCGCTTTAACAATTCACAAACTTCATGTCGATCAGTCACTGGTACTTCCTCCAAACCACTTACAATCACAGAACCCTAAACTTTTACAACTAGTAAAAAACTTATAAAATATTCTGTACAAGACAGATATATAAGAAAAACACAAAAAACCTATATTTTCACCTTTCGAACAGAGTCTTCAAATAATCGTAACCTTGTATGACCAAGTTCCGCATTTCCGAGCAAATCATATAATTCTTCGTTATATAATTCAACATAAGATACACGAACAGAGAATTCCTCTACATCCTGAAAGCATCGAGTTTACTCAACTGGTCTTGAAATAGCTTGTGTAGAGAAGCCCATCGGCACGCACACATAAAATGAATGCATGCATTGCCCAGAAATAATTTTTTTCTAAAAAAAAACTTTTTAAATGATATCTTTAATATGAAGATTCATTTATGGAGTTAAAATAAATCACGCCGATAAAAACATTACAACGAGCCTCATTTTCTAATTCATTGAAAATGTGATGTAAAGCCCGCGGCACTATGCCTAGTGAAGAATCTTCATTCCATGAATATTCGTGAAGCGATCCACTTGTCTCTCCTTCCATAGTAAATGTTTTTCCAGTACTCGTTTGTCCATAACTGTAAACATATTTCCAAAGATTCATATTACTTGAACGAACTTTGATGAAAAACTAGATCCAAATGCATGACAGTGCTTGGTACTTACGCAAACAATGTGCAGTTATAACCAGCAAGCGCATTTTTAACAAGAGGTTCGACAAGATCGATGTAAATATCTAGCTGTCTGGCATGCGGTCCGTATACCTTAAATATGGCTTATTGAATAGATAAATAAATAACTAAATAAGATTCCTGTAAAACAAATTTACTTTCAGCAGTAAATATTATTACTGAAAATTGTATTAAACGTAACCATTATATATTTATAATGGTAATAATGAAAGTGTTATAACCAACCTCAGAAAGTACTACATAACCAAGTTACTGAACAAATAATTTTCACAACTTGCACAGGAAGATAACAAGCAAATAATCGCTTGAACAAAATTCGTTACTCTGTGGGTGTCCGGTATTATGCGGATGACGCGAAAAATTAATGTAAATGTTTACTTTATCAAATGGTCCAAATTCTTTGTTAATTCCTCGGTCACAAAAAGTAACGGTTCGTTTGCGTGTATTAGAAGTTACTGCACAGCGTGCTTTATCGGTAATCTCGTTATCGTTCATCGGCCTTAAAATGAGTTATTTCGCTTAACTATTGATCTAGTCGAGTACAGGAACAAACGTGAATGTTTATCATTACTACTTGGCCAAATTTCGTATGAAAAAGTTTTTTAATATGTAATTTTTTTACTAGGTTTCATACTCGAAGTAACTTGAGCTTCATACCGCAATTTACGTGTTGTATTAAATACGACTTGCTTACCTTATCCGAACGGCAACACGAACGTTTTTACCAGTCTTCAAATTTTTTTCAGCCGACAACATCTTCGCTAAAATAAGTAAACTTGTAGAATTAATGAAAAGTGCAAGTATTTGACGAAATTTATGTGCACTTTTTATTATAATTATTGTATAATATTGTGAGAATTTTGGTATGTAATCACGTGGTACGTTAAAGTCAAAAAATAGCATAAAGTTTTCATTTTGCTATTCGCGTCTAATAATGATACCTTAAACTTTTAATGAAGTAAATTTTTTCATTTAAACAGCAATCACCACATTTCTCTTACGCAATAATAAGCATTTTAATACAAAGTATTTGATCTCTATTAAATACATTTAGTTACTTCCTTTGTTGATCCTTTCAGAATTATTCTCTGTAACAACCTTTTTCTTTCCAAATATCATTACTTACGAGAGCAAGAGCATGACAAGTTGAAGTTAATTTTATAAGCTTTTGGTGTCTAGGAAGGAAAATTCAACTTGTGAACCAGAGCATTATCTATTAAAAATCTCGGATAGCTTGATTCCGGGTTCAGGACTTCATGAATGTTAAATCTACTTTCGACATGCTCTTGCACGTACCTTCAAAAAGCATACTGATAACAAAATGGTAAAATTTAAGACTGGGAAAGTAATTCACAAAACTAATTGCTATGATTACAGTATCATTTGTTAATATGTAAAATCAATTCTTCCTGTATTCACAGTAAGCAAAAAAACAGTCAGTAATTGATAGGTACAGCATTGAAATTTTTTCAAAAATTCTTTGGCTACAGTATTCTAACTTAAACTATTAACAGTGTTAGTTTTTCGTATTTAGCTGATTCTCTTAGACAATATTTAAATATTAGTACCGACGTTGCCATATAAGTTTACTTCATTTAGTAATATATGACAACAAAGGAAAGTAATTATTCATATGTGACCGAGATCCTGGTATTAAGGCTTGAAATGCACATTATGATAAATACCGTCAAGTGTTGTTTTCTTTTGACGACTCACAATTCGGCTATTACTGTCCACTTTGACGTGTTGTGCACAGGTACTGTGTATGTCTCGTTGCGACGTAGCGCTGTCTTCGCTTTGTGCAGTGCCTTTACTGTTATGCACAACATCCTGACCAGTAACTGACCTGTTTTCAATATGTCTACCTCGACCTCTTCTTGCTTGTTGACTTACGCTACTGCGATTTCCACTGCGCAGTATGGGACTGCGTTTCATGCTTGGTATCCTGCAGCCACTACCTCTATCTACACCCTTACTACGATTTGTCACGTTTGGTGGGGTACTTGTAGTACAGTGTAACGCATCTTGAGGAGTATTCTCAACCTGTTTTTCTACACCTCGAGCAGTACCAGGATTTTCTGGGCTTCGAAAAACATTGCCATGTTCGCTTTGCAAAATATTACTTGGGTTTCTTCTAGTTCTTGCAGCCCTATGGAGACCCACACCACTTCGTGAAGCACCACCGCCTCTTCCTGCTTCGCTTTTTACGTTACTACACCCATTCCTGCGCTGCGACGTGATCTCATGCACCATCTCAATTTGCTAAAATGGAAGATACAACCTGCTAACAACAACGAAACGTAAAATGTGCCTTATTCTTCAAAATCGACACTTTTATACTATCCTGAACAATATTGCACTTAACTATGCAAATTTATGGCACCGAAATAATCTTCATATTCAGTGGCCGTGCTTGAAATGAAAAGCTAGAGGGATACTTGGCACGTTCCTCTTTTCTACTCCACTAAAGACAGTTCTGCTTTTGTTACATAAAAACGAATAGGATTGTTTAAGAGAAGTTATGTTGATGTCAAATATGGAAAAAAAAGAACGTAGGCAAGTAAATTTTGTACAACTTCACAAATTCTGACGCCAATAAAAAATAACACATAAATACCAAGCCATATCTGTCACAAATTACAGTGCAATAATCTCAAGAAAACAAACACGTTAATTCATTAATTTGAGTTATGAAAATCAATCAATACTCCAAAATCAATAAACGAGATTTACGCTTCTATGTTTCATGCATATTAACTGTGTGAGAAGCGAATATACAAAAAATTTATTTAAACTATCCCGCCAAGATTTGATTTTCATTGGTTTATTGTGAAAATTGAATCCCGGCTAGAAGGCAAATGGAAAAAGGACAAAAGGCGGTCGGCCGTTAGAAAGACTTGTAGTATTGGGAGGTCGCATCAAGGTCAATCTTTGTATGCTTCTGTCGTTAATTTGGTCTTAATTCCAACTTATTTAGTAGTTGATAATGACCTTTGTAATGAACACAACTTATTTATAGTTATTAATTTCAAAATTTGAGTCCATTTTTGAATATATGTCATTCTATGAAATCTTAGATTACTATGAAACTTATGAATGGAATTAATAATTTTCATCTTCAAAGTATTTGAGTGAAGCGAAATTGAATACTAAGTAAAGGAGTACCGAGTACGGTAATACTAAATAAAGAGGGAAGTTTATTTCCTATTTGCTCAGCATAGAGAGAGCCCCAAATAGTAAAACACTTTCAAATCAAACAAATTGAATACATTTCAGATTTCGATGATTTTATGTCCCCCTCTCGTGGCTGATTTTGATATGTCCTGGAGTGATGAATCTTTTGGGAAAAAGTTCAAGAATTCAGGAGCTACTCATACTAATGATGAAGAGAGCAGTCGTCGTATCACCGAAATTTCACCTGATACGTGGAGTTATGAGGATGTAGCTGTATGGCTTGTCGAACAAGGCTTTCAAAAATATGCTGATCTCATTGCTTATAAGCATAAAGTAATTTTTTTGCACTCGGCTTAACCTTATTGTTTGGTTGTTAAACAGTTATTGCTGATTATTGTCGGACTAACCATCATACATTAGCACTGCGATGCCTAATTTAGTGTTAATGTTACCAGTTTATAAGTCTTATGTCTGTAAACCGTTGAAATAATTTAAAGATGATCGTAATATTTAAATTATAGTTGACCATGTAAATAGGTTACTACTGTGTTTTTTGCACAGTAGTGAAATTATTAATCTCAGTAATTAACACTTTACCTTAGCATCATGTTTGATTAAATAGTATGATAATTTGTGCTGTGTTGGTAATATAACATTCCTGGCGTTTTTATTTCTTTTTAAACCAATGATGGGTGTTGTCTATCTTCATAAATGGTTTACAGATCGATGGTCGTACTCTTCTTATGCTTACAGAAACAGATCTACGAGAAAAACCTCTAGAATTGAGTTGTCTTGGTGATATCAAGCGTATTGCTTCATCTATTTCACTATTAAGGGATTGCATGACACCATCCTTTAATCAAAAAGTTTGTTTGAATTTATTGTTGCTGAAAAACAAGTTATTTTGGTCTTTCTGATTATTCTACGGGTGTTCCCCGGTAAAATAAGGGTCATGTCAATAAGTTTTTCAAATCCAAGTATTCTTTGTTTTGACCATTTTGTTCTACAGCTGTAAACATTGTTCCACTCTCTTAAATCAAACATTTCAAATGTTCCCTTTAGTCAGTTGAGCAGATGAAGTAGAATTAATTGACAGGGAATAAAAATGTAATCGTCATTCATTCTAAATAATTAATTATTCGATCGGTAGCTTGAGTTCACATTGGTTAACAGAGACTTTATATTTTTTGTTGTTGTTTTAGTTGTTTGCTGAACAAAGTGCAGAACGTTCTGGCATTGTTTCATTATCAAATCGTTCGAAGGAGCTTTTATCGTCCGCCGATTGTAGAAGTCAAGATAATGCTGATATAAAATTTTCACCTGATACGAAGTAAGTTTGCAAACTGTTCATGTCTTAGCTACTTATCACGCAAACACTACAAAATTAATGTGCTACATACCCTGAAATCCATTGCAAAGTAGTTAGGTTTGTGTAAAAGTTATAATGGCCATCAAAGTAGAAAATCTTTTTCTTTACAGGTTTTTTGATCACTCCACATTTTAGAATAAAAGATAAAAAAGCTAACTGAAAAGAGATTTCTGAAAAAAACCGGAATTTTATAGTAGAAAATGATATTTGAAGTCATATTGATATTTTTGAAAAGTGCTTAAATTTGTATATTTATTGTGCATGTTATTTCAGTGAAAATGAACATTTTTCGAGAGACATAACCGCAGACCCGTCTCACGAAAGGAGACTAAGACGAGTCCAGCTTTTAAGTGGAGAAAATTTAATTCGTCAGGTAGGTTACCACAATGATGCATTTATATGTTTTCATTTTTTGATCTCTTTCTCGTTCTCAAACTTTATGTTTCAAAGACTGTTGGCTAATTTAAGATGAATATTTCATTATTCTGGATTTTATTAATTTTTGAGAGAAAAGTAAAAAGCTTTGAGGTGGAAAGTCCTGATACAAAATCGAAGTCGCTCATTAAATTGGCGATTGCTTTTTGTTATTGTACGTCTTCTTTACTGATTACGTCTTTTGTAATGGCTCTCGTTCATGATCGTGTGCCAGGTGAAATATTATTTACAGTAAAATCAGGATTTTCAAATATTTTAAATTCAGAATTGTTCCTGTTATGGTTTCAGCTGATTCCATTACTAAAGGATAATTCTTAGTATGGTATCAAAATTATTTGCTAAATTCAGATATGAAAACATACCCACCATTGCCAGATATCGTACTTGACAATTTGCCTCTAATACCCTGGGCATTTCAAGTTTGTGAAGTTATAGCGGTTTGTCTCGCATTGTTGTGGTTCACGATTTTGTTCTTCCATAAACATCGGTATTATATCAACTGATGAATTTTGTTTCATGTTAATGAGTGATCGAAAATTGTTGCATCAGGCTCAATTTTTTGCCCATGTTTATCGTTAGAAGCACATTCTATTTCTTTATCTTAAAAGAAAATAACAATGGAAAATTTTCTGTTCATTATCTTCATTAATGATGGAGGTTTTGAGGTTCTCCATTTGGAAAAAAGTTCAAATTTGTCAGATCGTTCAACTTATGTCATTTTTTAGAGTTGTGATAATGCGGCGTATGTTCTCTTTAATTGGGACTGTTTTTCTGCTACGTTGTGTAACGATGTTGATTACATCTTTATCTGTGCCTGGTGTGCATCTGGAATGTCGATCACAGGTTTTCACCCGTTTTTTTTATTGGCAATAACCTTGTGTTCGAGCAAATCCAGGATTCAGATGACTTGTCAAAGTCGCCAAATTACTAGTCAGAGTTCGCCAAATTACTGGTTACTTTCCTGCGTAGATCTATAGCTCTTATCAATAACGCATTTTAACAGAGTTATGGTACTATGGCAGCCAGACTTCAGCAAGCTTATCATATCTGGTCACATTTTGGTATGTCTATTCATGGTGTTCGGTCCTGTGGTGATTATATGTTCAGTGGTCACGCAACAGCAATAACGTTAATAAACCACTTTATTACTGAATGTTAGTTTACCTGCGTTTGTTTATATTTCATAATCATACCTCCGGAAATTCATCACTAGAGTAGTGAAATGGTGCGGTTTTTTAAATGTTGTCAAATATTTCTCACTATTACATTACTGAATACCATGATTTTACACTTAGCTATAATCAACGATAGTTGATTATTTCATAGAGTCTATAGACTCGTCTTCCATTTGCCACGATTTTTTTAATTCTAATTTTGCCATAAGTAAATTACAATAGCCAGTCGTGTACTGTCTTCATGTAGCTATTATAGTTTATCTGGGTTAACAAATAAGTCTCCAAATTTATCTGTAGAAGCTGCCTTCTTCTTTTAAAATGCACAAAAACAGAAAATATATAATTATATAGCAGTCCTTTTGCATTTGTCACTACATTACATACTTGAAATTGTTAGAATTAAACGATTGAACATGAAGTGCTAATTTTCAATGTTTCAGATACCCCAGATTCATGGCATAATTTACATACGTTCACGTGGGTTCTGAATCTATTTGGAATATTTTTCATCTTAGCTGGTCATGAACACTACAGTATTGATGTGTTCATTGCATTTTATATCTCTTCTCGGATGTTTCTATATTATCATGCATATGCGTATCGTCAGTTCAGTTTAGTTGAAAACGATAATCGCATGAGATTATGGTTTCCACTTGGCTGGTATCTTTTATTGTTACTACCATATTTTTGAAAATGAAGGGAAATTTCTTATATATATGGCCGTTTTTTCTTGAAATTTTATAGGCGTGATAAAATGAGTGATTGCTACATTATGACCAATTTTAACAAAAGTTGAGTAGTAAATGAATCTACTAAATGTACTATCTGCAAGGAAGTTGAGATACTTTTATTTTGGCTGAATTCAACGACTATTAATGTATTTTTTCAGGTTTTTCGAAGCGGGGGGACAAGGCCGCGTCAAAAATGATTTCGACTTTCCTTTTTATCTGCCAGTAATTTCGTTATCTTCATTGTGCGAAAAATTATCTATGCAAAGGAAAGGAACAAAGTCAGACCAAAAGCTAGCGGAGAAAATTACTCGGAATTCCAACAGTATTTCAGTAGATTTTAACAAAAATTTAAAGAGACGGAAGAATGGGAAGAAATAGTTTGTCTTCCTCTCGGAAATACAACTTTTCAGGAAACAGTGAGTTGGGGACCTAAAAAATCAAGATCTCTCGAGAATTCACGTTAAGTTTTTAGACATTCTCAGAGACAAAACCGTGGAAATTGCGAAAAAAAAAAGCAGCCTTTTTCTTACATTTTCTGAAAGATTAGCGTGATCTATACCGGTTCATGTATAATTTTTTCATCTAGAAGTGTGATTGATTACTCTATCTTTTAAAAATTCTGAGTTTTGTCTCTACAGCAATGAAATAAAATCGATGACCATGTACATTGAGATTATCTTATATTTATTCTTTTCACTATGACTACTGAAATTAAGTTAATGGCGCTCATTTAGTGTGAATTTGTTTTTGTGACTGTAGTGTGGTGTTCACTTGATGTCTGTTTGTAGGTTTCAATATCAAGGTTTACCAGTCATAACTGACTAATTTCTATTGACCATTGCCGTAGTTCATTCAATTCTAGACATGCATGCATTTTAAGAAACTAAAGTTGATGTACACGCGTGTGCATTTGTTCATAGTTGTCTGTAACTTACGTTTTAACTCCATATTTCTAAAACCTTGGCGTAGAAAACATCAATTCTTTAGTAAATATATGAAAAGTGCGCGACTTATATTAGTTTCTACATATGTTAAGTTTTCTCAAAAACAATGCAGAGTTAAAATCCATAACTATGGGGATGCATGCGTATTAGCAAGGAAATAAGTGCAAGAACGATCTAAACGTCTGGGGCACTTAGTTTCTGTTGATCTAATTTGCACTCTTTGTAGTGGCCGCTGCGGTACCAAATACATTTCGCCACTTTCACTGCCTATAATATGCAAAACAAAAAACGATATTCCTAACTGATTAAAATAGCTTTTCTCTTGCTCAGATCCATTGTACTTTGCTACTTACCCTCAACAGCGGCTAAACCTATAGCGTCCAGCTCTATATTCTTGGTACCCTACGTTCAATGTTTGAAGTAAGGTTGGACCCAGATCTGCAAAGCCGGGGAATATTTCACGGCTATTTGCCGCTTACAGATGTTGAGAAAATCCTTAAGGCAGAGGGCGACTACCTACTTCGAGTGACTGACTATCAGGGTTAAACACTCGTAGAATTTAATATATATTAAACACGAACAAAAGAAATCATTCCCTAGACATATTTTAGAAAATTTTCAAGATACATTCTGAAATATATCAAGCTCGGATTAAAAAATTTCTGATTTTTCTTTCAGTCAATCTTTTAGAAAAACCGAACATCCTAAGGCTCTAAATATTTTTTACAGTTCAGGCAAGCTAATTTGTGTTTTATCTATTTACTACAAAGGCAAAGTGAATACAGTTTGTGTGAATCGCAAGAATAAGATGTACTGTTTCAATGATAACCATAAAGTATTCTATTTTTCATATGAAGATATTCAGTGATTTAAGTGGTAAAAAAAACTGAATTATGCATAAGCCAAGGCATTTTTCGTTTACATTATCACTAAAGAATTCGTCTTGAAAGGACGACAGAAAGCATGCAACATATTTAGGATAATCGTATATGTCAACTATTGGATTGGCATCAGAAGACGAAAACACCAATAACCGAAAAAGGAATTATCTTGAAGAATCCTGTTACTGTTGAATCATGGAATATGGTGCCGAATAACGTTGACCTACTACTTGGAGATGTTTACAATTGCTATCGAATGAAAGTTTGTAATCCCAGAACTATCAGTAGAAGTACAAGTCCCCAAGAAAATATGACTTTGAAGAATTTATAGGCTTACGAAGTGGTGATTAATAAAGAAAAGCAAAAAATCCACGCTGCAGCACTATTACTTACAAGCAAACAGCTACAGATAGAAAGCAAGAAACAGTTCTTAGCTGAGGGTCGAGTACTCAGAGCATTATCACATCCAAATATCTTACAATTTTATGGCATGATTACCAGTGCCCTCCCATTCACAATGTTTGTTGGCCTTTGTCAAAGTAAGATGATATGCAAAGATGAACCGAACTTGCAGTTTATCAAACTTAATCTACTGATTATTTTGGTAGTAAATTTTAAGCAAATATAGTATATTTGACTGCTTAACACATGTCAAACACATCTTTACTTTTAGTAAACTTACAAGCGCTTTTGCAAAAAAACAATGTTCAGAAGGAACAGAAAGTACGCTTTGCAATTGAAGCAGCTTCTGCACTGAAATATATCGCTGATAAAGGATATGTACACAAGTGAAATCTCTCATTCATAATCCACCAAACAACTCTGCCACTAAGTACAACATAATTAAACGAAATATCAACAAAACGAAATATCAAAAAAAACGGCATCTGTATACCATTTCTAGAGAAGCTGCAAAACGCTTAAGCATGCTTATTTTCAGAAAAGCGTTGAAAAGCATTAAATCGGGACGAAAAATTTTGCCAAACCAAGACGAATTTACGAAATTACATACTTGCTAACTACTTTTTTATCCAATTAACTTCAAAATATATAATACTAACAAGTAGAAGACTTACTAGGAATGTTCAAGCTGCAAGCTGCTTGATTGATCGAAGCATGACACTGAAGATGGCAAATCTTTGTTTCGCAGGATCTGACCAATGTCCACCATTTATTCACCAGGAAAACCTTGAAGCGATCCAAGCAGGATGGTTAGCACCAGAAACCATGCTCAAGCATATATTTTCCAAAGAATCAGATATATGGGCTTTTGGTGTACTTGTAAGTTCTGAACTTGTCGCAACATTCATCAGAACACACCTTGCTCTTTTACAATTTATTGTACTACTTACGCTATACTAAAATGTTTGCAGTTATGGGAAATTTACGAAAACGGAGAGATACCATATCGCGGTCTTACGAACATGGAAATTCGATCTTATGTCATTCACAGCCAGAATCGATTGGATATTCCGAAAGTAAGCAGCCCTACTTGCTTAAATATTCAGCTTTCTACACACAAGAATATACCAACATGCAAAATTGCAGAACGCACCACCAAAAGTGAAGAGGTTAATTGCACAGTGTTGGGAAGAAAACCCATCGCGCAGGCCAACCGTTCATGAACTGAAGAATACAATCCAAGGAATAGAGCCCAACGAACTATAAACTTAGCATCAGGATTACCATCTCCATAAGAGAAGACTAGCACCATGATAGCTTTGCCATATTACAGACCGTGTAAATGACCATCTCACATTTTAAGTCTATAAGTTGTGCACCTCCATACATATTTTATGCTCATAAACACTGCAATATGTACACAGAGATGAAGGCCCAGTAAATTATATGCAGCTCACTCTTCGGCAGTTTGAAGATTAACGCGGTAACGATGGACAACACTTTTATTCACAACCCATTAGAAAACATTTAGAATGATCTCTTGCTCATTGTAATTTCCTCCAACTACACTGACTTCCGAGCAATCAATAAAAGAACCAGTATTTGCAAGTATCGACGAAATTCCGATATAGACAACTCGATACTGACTCCACCCCAAATGAAAAAGCAAACCAATAAACCACTAAATTCAAGGCAAAACAAAATATTCACTATTTATCACATGTCATATACAGTAAGCAAAAAAAGGATCAGTAGCCACCACGAAGACGGAGAACCAAATGAAGTGTGGACTCTTTTTGAATATTGTAGTCAGACAGTGTGCGGCCATCTTCCAACTGCTTTCCGGCAAAAATCAATCGTTGTTGATCTGGTGGGATGCCCTCCTTATCCTGAATCTTGGCTTTGACATTTTCAATCGTATCAGAAGCCTCTACCTCCAAAGTGATCGTCTTGCCAGTCAGCGTTTTGACAAATATCTGCATGCCACCACGAAGCCGAAGGACGAGGTGCAACGTTGACTCCTTCTGGATATTATAGTCAGAAAGCGTCCGACCATCCTCTAGTTGTTTTCCTGAATACAAAACCTTTAATGACAAGGAAACAAACATAATATTACACAATACAATATTCCCACATGAACACCAATACAAAATTTCAACATTCAATATAATTTATAGACGTACCCGCAAAAATAAGACGCTGTTGGTCAGGGGGAATACCTTCCTTGTCCTGAATTTTTGCCTTCACATTTTCAATTGTATCTGATGCTTCAACCTCCAACGTTATAGTTTTGCCAGTCAACGTTTTCACAAAAATCTGCATGCCGCCACGGAGCCTGAGAACGAGATGCAACGTTGACTCCTTTTGGATATTGTAATCAGATAATGTTCTACCATCTTCCAATTGTTTTCCTAAAGAAAAAGTATATACTGGAGGATACACCTTGCATATAATCCAGTAAAAGTTGCTCTCTAATGACTGCCAGCACTTACTCATCACAACGTTTATAAGAACGTACCGGCAAAAATAAGTCGCTGCTGGTCCGGCGGAATTCCTTCCTTGTCTTGAATCTTTGCTTTAACATTTTCGATAGTGTCAGAAGCCTCAACTTCCAAGGTGATCGTTTTACCAGTCAGAGTCTTTACAAATATTTGCATACCACCACGTAATCTAAGCACCAAATGGAGCGTAGACTCTTTTTGTATATTGTAGTCTGACAACGTACGACCATCTTCCAACTGTTTTCCTAAATAATAGTAACATTTAGGCACACACATTACCGCTATGACCTTTGAACCGAAAGGGAATTACTAGTAGTATAAATGACACTTTCAAGTTCAAGTGGAACAAAACTTATACTGCTCCACTTTAGATCTTAGCTTTAACACTACATTTTCATTAGTATCTGAAACTTATTTTCAGAGTGACAGTCCTATTCCTTGGCGTTTTGATAAAAATCGGCATTCTGCCTTTACTAACAATATACAATGCTGTCTTCTCATGCATGCTTCAATTATTACACAAACCAATGTCACCTACACGCAATATTTCGTAAATAGATAAAGCGAGCAAACCAGCAAAGATTAGGCGTTGCTGATCCGGTGGAATGCCTTCCTTATCCTGAATCTTAGCTTTTACATTCTCAATGGTATCAGAAGCTTCCACTTCCAACGTTATAGTTTTGCCGGTCAGTGTTTTGACAAAGATTTGCATCCCACCACGTAGTCTGAGCACCAAGTGTAAAGTAGACTCTTTCTGGATGTTATAGTCAGAGAGAGTACGCCCATCTTCCAACTGCTTGCCTGAAATACGTTTTCTACTATGCATAGCTTATATAAGCACAAAAAACTCAAACTGATCCCATCCTCACTGCTGTTCAGAACAAGTAACCTTACGCTGAATCTACACAGAATGCATGATAAACGCACCAGCAAAAATTAGGCGCTGCTGATCAGGTGGAATACCTTCCTTATCTTGGATTTTGGCCTTCACATTTTCGATAGTGTCGGAAGCTTCAACCTCGAGGGTGATAGTCTTACCAGTCAGTGTTTTCACGAAAATTTGCATACTTGTACCAGAACGAACTGCAACTGCTGTTATAATTAGCATTAACAGGATAACAGGAAAGCTTTAAAGTTTGACAACTGCTTCCTAATAGAAAAGATGCAAGTAACACATGAACATTTACAACGCTCAAAATACGCTTTTGTCCCCATAAGACGAAATGACTGACGCAGTACGTCTGTCCGGAGAAGGTTACATATCAACATACTAAAAGCCTAAATGCTCTCATAATCTTATAACTCTAACCAAATAATTAATCGTCTTATTACAATAAACTAAATTGTCTAGTCTCCAGATGAAGCAATTCATTATGAAGACTTAATGACACTCAATAGCAGTTAGGAAGACACACATTCTACCTCAAACCTCGACGACAACGAACAAGTCCAAATATAAGATATTCCTACCAGTCCGAATGATCTATGCTGTACAAATTGGAAAACAACCACCCACCAGAACGTCCCGCAAGATCTAGATTAAGCACCCAACCGAGCCCACACAACACTCAAGCAGCAATGAATTGAACTGTAGTTAAAACTGCATTTTATACTGGCTAGATCTATGCCCTTCCCACTCGCTCTTTCGAGCACTTTCTCGAACCTTCTACAACACTCTATTTTCTTCACACTAACCCTTGAAAAAATCGATGATGAGTCATATCCTCTGCTTCTCTACATCTCTCGTGGTCTCTACTATTGTTCAATTTATCCTACGTATGTGTGTATCGTCAATAGAAATCAATACATATGTATTGATGAGACACACACATACATACTTTTAGTGCCAGTACCTGTTCTCCAAGTTGCATCGATCCGTATGCCAAACGCACTCCATGATTTGGCAAGACATTGTTACTGCGTGAACCAAACAATTACACCACTCGGTCGTTACTGCTTCACGGACTCTAACTCGGGATCGATAGCACTTAAATAGAATATTGGATAATATAATAAAAATTATTCGCTACTCACAAGCATTAGACAAATTAGTTCCACGACAAACTGGCTTATTGCTTTCACAACACCATATCACAGACATTATGAGGAGGCTACGGAATTTTGATTAACCCGAAATTACAAAACATTGCGATTTGGATGACATCAGATAATCACGTGACTTCAAGTAATTTTTGTGCTATCACGCAATTAGGTAATGTTGAATAGGTTCTGTTTTTTGACCCGCATATAATGAAAGAAATGTGATCTGCAATGATGAGATGGTCATTACCAGAACTAATGCTATAAGTTTTTATTTTAAAGCATACATTTTAACGCAAAGAAACTTCAGGAGTCAATTTTGTATTATCGAGGTAAGAGCAAGTGGACAGCCGTACAAGGTCATGATTGCGTATCAAATGAGGTTGTAGGTAACAGCTGTTCTAGCCATGATGTTTAATATTCTATAGTACCAAGGCCTCCTACTTTTTGCCCTCCACTCAATTCCCTTCCCGCCTGACCTTCCACCTCGTAAGAGAACGGAAAATCAATTGTGTTAGTTGCGTGCTTATTGAAAAATGGATTATTACGTATAAAGGAATGATCTATATCGTGTGAGTTTAGTTACGTGTGTACCATGCGTTGGTTTCTATTTCGATATTGGATGACATGTTGAATGAAGGGGATGGAACTGAACAGTGTTTTATTTTCTCAGTGCCAAACATGATAGAAAGATAGGCTGATAATTTAAATGTAGACTAAGTGGAGCATTTGTACTGCATTTCTCATATAGATTTTTTGCAATGTGGAGTGATCGATTAGTATTTGGTGTATTGTTAGCAGCAAATAAGCTTTGTCTATTCTCTCGTTTGCATCAGACTACTCATCAACGACTCATAGCTAGCACAAACTGAAAATCTAGCATGAGCCCAGGAGCAGTGGTATGCGTTGCTTGCACTTACTACGTTCATTTGCAAGAAAATATTTCGAACAGCACAACAGTGACGGAATCCACGCTAGTCTCCTCAGCTGTAACTTGGCCCAACATAATTCCAATTACAGCAAGGTGTAATTGCAAACTGTTTCTGTCTTTTATCGAGAATAATGGGTAGTAACTCCTGACTCAGTCCACTAGATTAGCATCACATCTCCTCATTCCAGTACATCCCTTTCAACGCGAACATCTCTCCTCTTACATATACTTAGTCAAATAATTGTAGCACATCCTATCTCAACATGACTGTATTGTCAGGCGATTGTCATCTGTTAAGGATGAACATGGCACCCTCATGTAAATGCAAGTTTTGCGTAGGTTCCTTGTATTTAGATTATTAGCGACTTTAAACTATTTAAATCTTGTCGTCCTTGCTGAAGTGAAAGGGTCCACACATCCATCTACTAATATTGCTCTACGTGTCATCTCCCTCTTCTCTTCTTTCACCGACTGATGATTGGTGAAAGAAAAGGGAGACAGTTTGTACAAAACACACACATCTTTGATGTACAGTGATGGATACGTATTACACAGCCCCCTTTTTTCCCTATCGATTGCAAAACTGCAAAAACTTCGTACGAACTCCGTCTTTTTATTTTTAGCAGTTTGCGGAAACCACTTTACGGTTTAATTGTGCAACACAATGGATTATCTGCCAGTTTTGTGTGAATTAGCTATATAATGGTCATGAATACAAGCGTTACATATCCCATATGCATATTTGGCGTTTTGAATATTATATTGAAAGGAAAACTCGTGTACAACATGCGGAGTAATGAGCTAGCTGGCCTCAATGACAGACTATTTATCAATGTGTTGCAGTGCGCGGAACAAGTTGACAAGGCGTGATACTCTTACCTCCAAACATAAAATTGTTTAGACCTGGAAAAAGTATGTGTCTACATTGTAGAGAACTTATGAAGACGGACCATCTGACAGCGCAATGCAAAAAAATGTTATATCAAGACTATACTAGAAGACACAATGAGGTGCTGCAGTGTATCAATTCGGGACTCTCGCGCTTGCGAAGTTATTCTTTTCAGCAGATGGTCTCAAACCAAAGGGAACGTGGAGAATAAAGTCAATAAACGATGAAGAGCAGCAATTAAAATTAGTACGGACCGATCGGACATTGTGGTGCAGGATAAGAAGCGACACGAAGTAATCCTGTTGGAAGCTGGCCACGACAGAGTTACAGCAGTCTAGACCAGAAGAAAGTCAAATGAACTCGAGGTGAAGGTGAAAAATTATTCTGCACGTGATGACGTAGGACAGAATAGTGAACGAATAAACGCTACGAAATCTATATCAGTCATTTCGAGGGATCTGCTGCGCATTGGGAAATTTCAACAGACATTTTAGAATTCGACCCTGCAGCAATACCAATAATACAAAATAAAAATTAAGCTCCGTCCCATCATTATTACTATTATTAAGATCATTGGAGTGAAAAAATATGCATCAAATTGCAATCTGCACCACATGGTTTAACCCTCTGGTCAGGACTAGTGTGCAACAATGGATAACAACAGTTACTTGCTAAGGGGTGATTTTGTAAATGGCTTGACTCAGAGTTTATTATCAGGCATAATGATACTGCACATATGTGGACAGCTAACACCTGGATATACACACGCAACGATGACCCTGAAATTCAGTATTTTTGCATTTTGTTTGAAGTGCCATGTCTAGAATCGAGTCATTAGTTATGAACGTGTTAGTATATTTTATTAGTTTTCTGTTATTTTAAAAGTCCATAATACAAATCAGAAGATATACGAGACTGTAGAAAAAGTTAGGTGATCAATGAACCAGATATCAATAATAATGGATGAACATCACAATAATTAGCCAAAGAGGAAATTTCCTCTTCAGAAAAAGGACAATTTCAACATTGCTAAGTTCACTGATTACCCAGCATTACTAAAGCAAATATGAGGGTTCTGCATCAGTTGTGAATTCCTGATATGCATCCATAATGCACACTAAATGTCAAGAAGTAATTTTCTCTCAATGAAAGAAGTTAAAGCTTACATTAGTACCGGTCGTTTATTATCTTATATTTATTATAAACAGAGAACTCAAGAAAAAGCAACAAGCTATCTGTCTAAGGTTGGTGAGTAAAAATTTCAATTATTTTGGTATTTTAAAACAAAAACAACAATGAAACTGTAACATAATTAATTTAGAACTGATATTGGAAATTTATAAATATCAATGCATCAGAAATGGTATTTTGGCTTACACGTTATTTGAAAGATAGATATTACAACTTTGTACAAGGGTCAAAATTCCTAGAACAAGCACTTAAGAAATACAGCTGTCTCGTAAGCAGAGGTAGATATAGAAATACTAACATCAACTAATGGTGAAGTTTCTGCCAGTGTAAGAGAAAGATAAGATGGCAATGGAGGGTGGACCTGGTAATATTGATAAAGAACCATCATATATCTCAGATTCAGCTTCAGGTTTTCACATCTTTTCGTCTTTTCAAGTTGAACTGTAATGCCAGATATTTGAAAGTCTTGGCATTATGAGTTTCTTTTAACATATTAACAACTTCTTGAGCATTGCCATGCGGTAGATCGTTTAAACAACGCCTAAATTTAAAAGCAGGTGTGACTAAATGTGATATAGTTATTAAAAGCACAGACTTTAAGATCAGTTAGAAAGACCGTGACGTAGTAGGTCATAAATTAAGCAAACCTGGTTTCCTGAGGGTAGATTCGAGCAATTAACATCAAAATCTCCGAAAGAGCTTCTGTAGTTGATTTCATCAATTCAGTTTGCAATCGGTTGAATACAACATTTATAACACATTCTCCAGCTTCATGAAGAACTTCAGAGAATTTGTCACAATGCATTATGTTCCTAATCATCGTAGCTAGCAAAACTGAACTTTTTCGACACAAATTCGTCTCACTGCTACTGGATAATATCTGAAGAACCAGACATTGCTTTTTAGTTGTTAAAAGATATAAAATTATTGTTTGCAGAGAATAAACAAATGTATATAGGAACGACTTTTATTTATACCCTACGAATTTGCATATCTAATTTTTTAGTGATGAAATTGCAGACACATAAAATTAATGAATAACCTTGAGCGACATATCACGGACAGCCCTTAGAAAATTCCATCCATGTAGTGTTGAAATACATACGAACTTCCAATCCTTCTTCACAATATGATAAGCCAATTCAATATATTCTTCACAGAATTCATTTACTGATTCATTGATAATGGTAAACCACAACGACATTCGTGTTGCCAGTTTCCTTGTCATGTCATCGATACTTTTGCTTGAGCATATTAAGATTAATGATTTTGCTAACTTGCAAGCAGCAATCGGATGTTTGAGTACGACAAAATCAATGACATCACAATATGACTCAAATAATGTCTCCACATTATCCTCAATGGCTACCATGCCCGAACGTAAAACATCACAGACTTTCTCAACTAAGATTTGAGAAGACATGAAGTTCCGGAGTAAATCCAACAATAAGGGAAGCGATGGCCACAAGATGCTGTGAACTACACTCCCATTTCGATTTCTTGACTGCTCACAATTTGTATGAGTATTCGCTTTGGGCTTCTGAGTATCAATTAAAGTACAAAGAACATCAAGCTCAAAAGCACATTCATCTTCAAGACTCTTTTCTGACTGTGAACTCGTCTGTATATGACCTTCAACAATCATCTGTAAAGTACTGAGGCGTGGTGCAAGGATTGAATTAAGGCATTTCAGAGCATCTTCTGAATCATGAAGGGCTAAAGATAAGCCCACACATCGAAGAGCGTAAATACGTAATTTCCAACAATGATGGTCATTTATGAAAAACTGATAACATCTCTGAACTGCCAGATCAATCACTTCAATGTGAGAAGTTCGAGACTCAAGAAATTTATCAAGAGTTTTGAGTGCTTCTTCAGTAGAACCGGATACATCGATGAATAACACTGCAAGCCTGATACAAATTGATTCCTGCTTGTTTGCTTCGTTTCCAGTACATATGAGATGCGACAACGAGTAGAAAAGATTCATTAAAGATTTCCCAAGTTGGCTCGCTGCGTAAATGTCATCGGAAATTTGCCAAGATAGAAGAATTGCTGAATGCTTTAAGATCTCATTGATGGTGATATCGTCATTCTCTGTCATGTAATCTGCTATTCGTTCAAATAGATACAGAACTGACTCAATCCTGAAAAACTACGTGAGAAATTACTACAAACAAACATAGAAAAATCTGTGCGAAAAATAAAAGAGATAAACATAACACTGAAGAAATGAGAGAGAAGTTTTCTCATTCAACAAATCTTATACTTTTATTAATGCAAACCGTGAAATTCATTTGCTTAACTGTTACTTTTTCTGTTGTTCGACTTTTTCCAAAGCACGTGAGTCGAAGAAAATTTCCAAAATATGTTTAAAAAAACTTAAATGTCCCATTGAAAATTGAAGATATGAGTTCTTTTAATGAAATCTAGTCGTCTAATAATAGAGAGAAACAGATGTTGAAAAACTAAACAAAGGAATAATAGAAACGAAATTCTTTCATAGCAGTGTAAAAGAAAATTCAGAAAAGAATAATCATTATTTTCCAAATCAAAACCTGAGCCATGATATTCCGAGCAAACTGTGGACAATTTTACATGATTAGCAAAATCTGCTGAAAATACATTAGAACAAAAGCTTACTCGCGTATATTGCCTTTCTTAACCGCTTCATCTAATAATTTTACCAATATCGATGTACACTCGAATGGTTTAATTTCATAAGCATTCAATGAAATTTCCACTCGTTGGAAACGATATCTGACATAGGAAAAGTATTTTGATACTTTTACATTTATTTTAAGTGTATTTATTTCCAGTGAAGTTAAAACTCAGAAATTCAAAAAATTTTAAACCAAAAAACTTTCATACAAAAGAGTTTGTGAAAGAAAAACACGTTTTGTGTTTTAAGTGACTAAAGGTCCTGAATAATGAAGAGTAGACAAAAATTAACTCTATGATCATTCTGAAAAAGATATTCGTCAGTCATATTCTCCCACTTGATATATTTCTTCTAAGTAATATAAATTTTGAGATTAGAAACTGAACAAAACCTCTCAAATTTTTCGATTTGTTCCAAGCTGAATTGTTGAAGTATGTCTTGAGGTGGATATGCAAGCTTCGTTGCAGCAGACCATAATAATCGTGTATAAAATGCATTACAATCAGCAATCAACTATAATGAGCTTTCATTTTTTGACAGAATAAATTTTCGACTACCATGCATTTATAAAATATCAGCATCATCTATTCACATACGTTCATCACAACTAATGAGTACTCGCAAATATTATACGTATATGAAATTTCTCAACATTTTTTGAAACGAATGTGATTTATCTCTTCAAACTTAAGAAATATTCTAGCAGTATATACCAAAATATGAAAGAGAAATTGCAATATAGTATGAACTGAATATTATCTTTCAAAATTAAAAAATACATTCGACATATTCATACATCACTTGTCAGGCCATCAATGCCACGTGACGCTGCCAGAGAGAGTAAATCTTCTTTCAGAATGTTCCAAAAAGTTTCTGAAGCGTCTGATATGATCTCATCGTAGCAATAAATACCAGGCCACATGGAGACTTTTTCAAAAAACGTGCATAGTAACCTTTAATTGAATGAAATTTAATTATGCTCGGCTAAATAAAAACCAATTACTAGTTTTATGCAAATAGAAAAACAATATTCTGAAATTTTATGCATATACTTCAGGACTTCGTCATTCCGCTTTTGAATACAGCCGATCAGCAATGAGCGCATTGTAATTTCAAAAAATCCAGCCAAAGAGGACACTAAGTATCCATAATCTTCAAGCTCAGATACATAATCATTTCTATTAGCATTGGTTATTTCTTTGTACTGCTCGTTTAAGAAATCAAGCTGTTCAGTTATCGCCTGAAAAATTTTTAAAAATTACAGTTAATACATAAATCTTGCAAGTTAAATAGTGGCTATAAATGAGTCTTTAAAGTGTTTATGAGAAAAAAATCGTATACTTGAAGAGACTGACCTTATAAAGTTGTATCAAACCGCAAGATTGGGTGAAAATTTAACATGATTTTTAGACTAATTTTTCTAATGAAACTACGATCGAAGAAATCTTTCTCAATTTCAATTTTAACTGTACTCTAAATACAGAATTTGTGTTTGCTTATCTGGAGATTAAAAGAAATAAAATGACCACGCATGTGATGCTTGCCAGAAACGTAGCCAGATCCATAGCTAAATTTTCCATATAACGCAAATCTGCATGTGTTGAGAGAACATTTAAAATTCGAGCTAATGCAGCTCTAAAAAACATTATTGTACAGTGATTGCAATAAAAATCTTCAACACGCACTTAATTCTTTTTAATTTAAGATCTGTTTTGCAGCAAAAATGCTTGAAATATTTTCAAAAAAAATTTTGTTACTAGACATATCTTTACAAAATCTCTTATGGAATGCATGTTCAAACAATTACTTATCAACAATATTTCCTAAAAATGGTAGAAGTGCTGGTTGCCACTGCATTAAATCACAACCGGGTAACTTAAGCCATTGTTCAAGACACTCGACTGCTGCGTTCCTCAAAGACGGCTGCGCATCTTCATCACATAAAATTATATTGATAATCCTTATGACGTCCTAAAAAACATGTAGCTATTCTATAATCATAAAAAAATCCTCTATAATATGAACTATTATTGATTTCAACATCTCCATCACTATCATCATTTACAACTCTCATTTACTATTTGATCTCGTAGTAATAGTCTCTATTACTTTAAAGCCAGCTACTTGAAGCGTACTATCTGCACGTTTCCATTATTTAACATTATCTAGAAGACAAACAATCTAACTCCTAAGCTAAGAAAACATAATACCTCAGCGTTTTGATGTAAAGATGATTTTAAAATGGATCGCTGTTCTAAATGCAAATGCACGCGGTCGAATTCAACCGGTAACTCAGCCAAAACACTAAAACAAAATGTAGTACAAAAACAATAAACCTTTTTGTCAGTTTAACAGCTCTTTGGAGAAACTAGTTAATATTTTATCAAACAGTTAATCAATAATAATAATAATAATAACAGATAACGACAAAAACGGTAATGATAATTACTATATCTCATATTGCTGTAAGCAACATTTCGTTCCTCAGAATTTTTTCAGTAAACGGTCTATAAGCTGGAAGGAAACAAAAAATTAAAATTTTGATTGAAATTTCTTGGTTCAAAAATGAGAATTTCAAATCAAAAGCGAAACTGCGTCTCCGAAAAAACATTATTGTTGGAAAGTATACATGAAAAAATAAATGTAATACAAAATATTGTGCGAAAATTCGATCCAATTCCCTTCAACAAATAGTTACCGTAGCAGCAATTCTGGTTTGTCACTCCAGACTGTAGCTAGATCATGAATCGGTTCCGGCCAAATATCAGGTATACAATACAAGGCGAAAATTGCAAGTGATGAAGTAAGCTTGTTTGTAACTGACTGGTTTAGAAATGAAGCACCCAGTGCCAATTTTTCCAGAAGCGTCTTCTTGATTCGTGCAACCTAGATATCATTAAATGACTATTAAGATTCTATAATGAAATTCAGTAGTTCCAATCATATAACTACTAGATTACGACAAAATAGTCTGAATTAGCTCACCTTAAAATTGTGTTATAAAATTTTTTAAAGTCAATTAGCAACGAATTGATAAATTTAGTGACACGAAATAAGAACTACATACCAGTACATCATTCGATAAGTACCTCTCCCACTGTTCCCGTAGAGTTTCGTAAAAAATACATGCGCCAAAATGTTGAACAGTGGTTGGCTGATCGAAAGAAAGGAAATGAAATGACATCATGAATCCTTTCTCAGCTGTAAGTGATAAAATACTTCTAAGTTAAGACTATTGTTAACTAAAAGTGAATTTCAATTCTACCGCTCTGCTGTTACGTGGTTTCAGTATATGTAAAGTAATAAATTTATATTATAAATTACGTTACTCAAGTAAAAGATAGAATGCCAGAGTGAATAAAAAAGTAAAGAACGGCCTCCTTCATTACAAAAAATGAATATAGACTGATCTTACATTTTGTTAACGTATTCAGTGCATTATTTAATTCTCGCGATCGTTTTGGATCTGTTGTTGTATGGAATTCATTTAGAGCTGAAATAACCTGCTGCATCACGTTCTGATCGATGCTATCCATTCCTACGCTTTTTATACTAAATATCGTCCTAAATAAATACAATATGTTGAACCAACTTCTACCATTTTATGACGAAATCAATTTAAACTACAGCAAAACATGGATAACGGAAAGAAAAAACATATGCAGATGGTTTGCAATATCCCTGAAATCATAGAACTAAAAACAGTGCAGCAAATTTTTTTCCACTAAAATAGGTATTGGAGGTGAGACAAACATCACAAAAAATATGGATTCAATATATTTTACAAAATAATTGTATCTTTATAAAATTAATAAGAGACTAATTTTGCTTAATATTGTTTCTTCTCCTTTGTTGGGTTTTTTTAGCTTGCTACTCGCTACGAATCATTGTAGTAAACAGAATTCCGATAATTTGGAAAACATTAGTGATAAATTAAATTTCGCGTAGCAAATGATGTTCCCAACAATCATGTGTTCAGATCAATAAATTTGAAAAAACTAATTGAAAATACTAAAAAGGACGAAATTGCACAACAAAGAATAAAAAGCCGAACTGGTTTCAATCTGTTCAAGAAACCAAATTATTTTTGAATAAGAAACGTCATAAATTAATGTACATTACTTACTTCCAAGAACTTCTTTCGGAACTTGGTGACTAGATGTCCAGAGTGAAGAGCAATTGCAGTATTTCAGGATGGATGTATACTGCTTGATTCTAATTCTCACAACGATTTGTAACGATGTCAAGTCAAGCAGTGTGAAGCTGGTGCGACGGTTCGGTATTCAAGTGAGTTTGTAGTATACTGTTGTAGTACAAATCAAACTTTATATTAGTAATGGAGGTGATAGATAATGAGAAAAAAATAAGCGCTATCAAACTCATCAGCTACAACTGATTGTGGATATAACTGCTTATTTCATTACTGTTTCTAAGATTTTCAATACGGTATATAGATTCAGGAATCTGGCCTTGTATCCCGTGATTACATAATTATAGAAATCTTGGACAGTCCTCGCCTATTTTTTTAAAGCCATTCTATTGCTAATAAGCGAGATATTATATTTCACAGTATATCTTAATTTGAATCTTGGTCATTGTACCTCTCGCTAACTAAAAATAGAGAAATAGAACAATACTCTCGTCATAATCAAGATGGGTATCATCAGTTCTTAATCCTTCATGTAAAAGTAACAATATATATATGCAGTGCGATCTCTCTAATCTCCATCGTACTGCCCTTCAATGACCGAATCCACTCATCCTTTATGAACGGCCCTTACCTTCACTTTGCCCAGCAACTGCTGAACAATTCGCTAACACCTCCAAATTCGATGCTCAACCCTACTTACAATGGTCCACTAGTGGAGTCCTTACAAGCAAAATAATACATGCTAGAACCCCCACGTTCTATCATATTACGTCCAGATCGGTTCTACTCATGCTCAATATACTATAAACATAGCAATAAACTAATCTATAACAACGAATGCACTACTTAGCAGTAAGTCACCATCGAATAATTGAAAGTATTTTCTCAGATGCTGAATCTACATCATAATCGTTCTTTGAGAGATTAAAAAAATCACTATTCACCATCAAAAGTATTAAACTAAAATTTCTTTATTTCAAACATGGCGTACAACATAAGATCTAACAAACTCCAGTGACGAAAGTAAGAATTAACATATTTCCTACATAACAGTTTTTATTACATGAGAATGGGATTTGAAAACATCACAAAAACTTTTAAAACTGGAAAACATCAACAAACATGTTCAGTACTCAACAACTTTGATACAAATAATTTTTGATAAATACATCAGTGAACATTAATATATTCTAGATTTGGTGGACCAGATCTAATTAGCAGAAATGCGTCTCGTGCTGCAATAAAAGCTTTCCTGATCAAATTCAAATTGTCAATACTAGTCACACAACGTGCTGTATTCTTCTGATCGTACGGTTCTTCAATGAATATTTTGAATCGCACAGTATTACCAGGTAAATTTGTCCTGAAAATACTATTTTTCAACAACAAACACTAGAACTCGAGATCTAGTATATAATATATTTTTGATCTACTGTTAAGTGAGTTGGTGAAAAATCTCTCAAATTTTATTTTTTTTAAATTTCTCGAATCTCAGGGGTTATGAGTTGAATGAAATAATAAAACCTGCTATATATGCATCCATTACGAATCGATATTGCTTTATTCTTGAAATCAAAACGAGCGTAATAATCGAAAAATGCTAATAGCAGTTCACCAACTGTTTCTGTATTGATTTCACGAGCTAAAATGAATTCAGAAAAACAGTGAAGAAAAAGACTACTCTACATAAAACTGACTAAAACAAATAAACTAGTTGAGATATACAAACTGTAGAGCAATTTAAACTTGTTAAAAGAAATACTTGACAACGGTATAGTTTACAGTAAAAAAATATATGTACTTGGCAACGGATATGGCAATTCTCTAAATAATTCCAAATCGTCAACACTGCATGTTGCATTAAACAAATTGGGATAGAGGAATTGAAGATTCGGTAAAACTGGAGGCAATGATCCACATTGTAAGAAGTGCAACACCATCAAAATGAGAGAGTAACTAGAAGTTTTCACCATTTTTTAGTTTAACATTTTGTTAGTTCATCAAGACATAACCTATTCTGACAGATGATAGTACATATTATTTTAAAGAGAAATGGATATTCGAAATCACGAAACTTTGACGAAAAACCAAACATACCTATTCAACGTGCCAGTCATTGGATTGTTAATACCAGCATTGATCGCCCAATGTTTCACAAGCAAACATATTGCAGGAAAACGATCATCGATCCTGGATTTTGATGGAATTAGTGATAAAACACATTCAGTTTTGTCTTCAAACGAAGAAATTATGACGTACCTTGAATAATAATGAAGAAGATGTGAGTTATATATTCCTGCTATATTATTACAATTAATATCGATTTCTAATTCTTCATACGGTGCAGCCATTTCCAGCTTTATAATTGGCACCTGAAATAATTTTTTACAAAATTTCTGAAGAGCTCTAATTTTTTTTCTGCCTTCATTAACATTGAGCATATAATTTACTGCACAAAGATTACTTTGGCAGGTATGTAGTTACATCTTTTGAACATTTCACGCCAATTCATGACGAATTTTTTGTACAGTTTTTTCAAAACACCAATAGCAAAGCTGAAAAACCACAAGTTATTTCTACACTCAAATATTGTAAGAATTTAGAAAAAGAACGTTGTACTTATCTTTTTACTCACTAAACTTCTCAATACAATAATTATTTGTCACAATAAAAAACCTATGGGCATTAACGGCTGGATTTGCTTGGGGTTGACAAAGACATAAATCCATATCTGAATTATATGAACCACAGCCATTTACAGTAGAACCGACAGCTATCAAATTTGCATCACGATATATCTAAATATCATAACATAAAATGGATTGCGTTGCTTCACACAACATAAACAATTTTCATGCAGTTTAAATCTTGCTTATACAAACCTGACGAATAAGTGCCAAGAGTTTTTGTCGCACTACCATCTTCCAGGAGAATGTTCGATCATCCTAAACAGTTTGATTAATACTGTGGTTATGAAAACCCTGATTCAGAATCATTTTTTGATAAACATTTCCACCATTTCAAAGAAAAACCGTTCAAATTCAAAAAACCTGAGCATTGACTAAAAAATGTTTCCAAATATGTTCATCGAACGATTTGAATTCATTTACGAACATAGTTTTTTTTTCCTTAATAACAATTCGTATTGCCAAAGCATCTTCTACACAGCTCACTCCTAAATTAAAATGCGAAAAAATGTTGTAAAATCAAATTAACATTCGTTTTTTACAATTACATAATTCACTCAAACGATGGGTTTTTTTTCACCTTAATTTTAGCGAAAAAGCTACCTAAAACTGAACGAAAAGCTTGACATTTCGGATCTGAATATCCAAAAGACATAGATGTCACAGGTAAGGAGGATAAAGGACTTTCAATGCGAACTTTCACGCAAGGACAATCCTGCAGCAAAACATGATCTAAATAACTTCACAGCTTCAGTTTTTAGAAGAAGATCCAAAAATGTACAGACATTTGGAATTTCCTTACATAAAAACTTAATTACAAATATAAATAATCCTAATGTTTTTAATTAATCCTCAAAACATGCATCCTGAAGAAATACTCAAAATAACGGCTCCCAAATACTTTACCTAGAAAAAATAGGTGGATAAAGTTCACTAACCTCATCATCGTCGGAAGTTTCATCTGAGTCGTCACCAAAACCTGAAATTTCATCAAAGCTAGAATTAGCACATTTCTTACATAGAAAGGCTTTGGTTCTACAACGAAATATAAGAAATTTTTTACAGTAATTGTTTAAATTTTATTCAGTTATATAAAACAATTTCTGAAACAACTCAGCTGACTACTGTAACGTATTTTAATGAAAATGAATATTTCAACAACACCATATCAAAGTAGCAGATATAGCTATTTACAGATAATCCCATCGTTTTCAAGCAAAATTTATTCTGAGACTTTTTTGTGAGTTCAAGTAAACCAGACAGAAAAAACTCGATTTAAAATCAAATCATTGAAAACAGACCAGTAAAGTTATAAATCGTTCTTTCGTAAGGTTTACCATCTATTTTATCAAACTCCGTTGATACTTGTAGACTCTAAAACAGTGATATTTTGTGAGGTTTTTTTTTTTCGAATATATATTAGTAATCATGAGATTTTCGAAAATTCAACACCACACTTGGTCTATTCCGACCTTTTCATATTAATACAACAATAAATCCACGCATGTACATTTGAAAAATTAAGTCAGAAACAATTAACTTACGCAAAGACTGAACGAAATGTACGATTCAACAACTAGGCTATTAAAAAAATCTGATCTTGTCTAATTACTAATGAAAGAAACTTCAGTTTCATCAGAGCAACTTTCTGATTTCAAATACTTATGTACGAACGTTTCTGGAAACAGAAGCACCATTTTGCAACATTTCCGTATTTGCATCAGCAGCACTCCATGATGACGAATTCGTAGCTTTTCTTGAGCTGTCCTCAAACTTTGATTTCATTGGATCCTATCAATAATTTCAAAAAATTTTTACAAAAACCGAAAATTCAATTCAAAGTTGAAATTCAGAAATATGACTGCCAACTTCAAAACTTTTATCAATCAGCTGAAACTTTGATGAATAGAATGAAGTAAAAGAGCGATGAAATATTTTTTACGCAAAACATGAAAAAAGATATGTTTTAGAATAAAATTTAATAGCTCACTTCCATCTGGGTGAAAATGCGGTTTCGCTTCAATCTGAGCATACTTGTTTCAAGTTCGTCTTCTGCTTTCCGTTTTCTGAATAAAAAGTGAAATTGTCTCAAAGATTAACAAGAATAAGCCAAAGATCGCTGAAATCTTTCTCAATGATGCACTAATTGTGAACACTATAATATTATTTCAGTAAAAACTATGAAGCTCACACTACATCTATTTCGTTCAGTATGAAAAAAAATGAAAGCCTGCACATTTCAAATGATAAAATAAGTATACTCAAGTAAGCGATAGCTATTAAACTTTATTTCATTAAATACATCTTCAGATTAGAAATAAAGATGTAAAAGCATTGAAAACTAGAGACAAAAAATGACAACCTTCTAATATATTCATTCACTTTCGATTCTTGTCTTTCTGCAGTAACTCGAACCATTTCAATTACTTCATTTATTGCCCTCACAAATTCCTCATTATTATACCCATTATTTGTAAGCTTCACCCAATGAGGAATTCCTGAATATTCGAGGAGTTATAAATCATTAGTTTTTTCTAACAACAATACTTTAATATGCAAACAACAACTTAAAAATAAAAAATAAAGAAACATACTATTGGAGCTTACACAAGTCAAATAAGTTACTCCAATGGACTACTGACTATTTTCATAAAAAAATACAAGTTTATTTTTTTTGATTGATTCATTTATAAACAAAAAGGAAAAGTACTGTTAGAACAACACAGCCAAAACAAAAAAGGAGATCAAAAAAGCTAAGAATGCCAACTTTTTGCCATTTCTTTCATGAACAATTCAACAGCATTCTTTACATGTCGCCATTCCTTAATTCTCCGCCAACGTTTCATTTTGATTGGTAATTTGGGCCGGCCTGATTTTCCTAAACAAGAAATAAAAAATTCCTTAATCAAATTAAACGAGATTAATGTACAGTTTTCTGAATAACACCATAAATTTTCAATTAGTACCATACGTCTTTCACAGTTTAAACACTTTCATGTAAAAATTACCGTAAACAAAAATGAGCAATGAATATGATTTTCAGATCACCTATCATCGGGTTAAATTCCACTTTCGCAATATCATGAATTTTAATCATATTATGATAACAATTTTTGTAAATATGGACGTGCTGCTTATTGAGTATATGACTAAGCTTAGAACAATATTAATTGAAAACAGCTAACCCTAAAAAATATTGCAAACGTACCAATAGTGTGATATAAAACAGGTGTTACAAAGCCAGCGTGATATAAGCGTCTCACTATACTTCGGCTGGCTGCCCAGAAAGCTTGTATTTGATCCAAACCAAAGCCAGCACCGTAAAAATGTGTTGTTGGTAAGTCATTAATTTTCATAAAAACGTAATGGCAATTCTCATTCTTAGCGTTCAGCTGAATCTTTTGCTCTTCTGTTAACTTAAGAACTGAAAAGACAAAATATGGGTTAAAAACTGGATGAACAATAAAAGCTTTTATGATCTTACTTGCTATCTTGACAGAACAGATGATGAATAATCTAAACAGAAAATGTTTAACTAAAGATCATTATAGCTCCCAAAATAATTGTTATGTTAGATATTTTGAATGAAAAAAGAATGAAGAAATGGTCAAAAACGAAATTTTAAAGAAAAAAAAAATTTGTAAACCAAAAAGTCTCAGGAGCGATAATTGACATTTCCATTTCTCAAACAAAATAAACTAACCACTTGTGTTCTTAATGCATTCTAAATTGGTACATACGAGCCAATCCAATAAGAACTCCATATAGCACGATTTACAAAAAAATTCTGCTTCTATGCCATCGACTACCATTGATTCATATGTACTACTGAAAAGAATAGAGTAAAAATTTTACCGATTACTCCATCAAAGACTAAAAAACAAGCATTATTGTAATCAATACTTTGATTTAAAAATATTCAGTAATTAGTGCCTTGATATCGCTAAAAAATCTTGCTAAAAAAAATGTAAAAAAATTTATCTTGTACCAACTTTGTAGGCCAATCAGTGAGAAAAGTGTTATTTTTTTGCCCGGGTTCGTCTTTTACCGACGAAACTATTTTAAACGTGGGTATAGGTCCATGTGGGTCTATCACTGATGGCTGAATGTCCGTTTCGCCCAACAAATATGGCTTCATTTCGTGACTAAAATTAAGCTTGAAATATAGTTTTGATGCAGCTTCTAAAGAAGAATAAGAATGCAATAGGACAAGTAAAAAAAATATATAACAAAGAAATATCTCTGAAGCGCATATAAAGGAGACATAATGAAGTGAACTATAGCCAGATAAAAAAAATTAGAGGACAAAATGCAACTAAATAAAGGAAGTCGAGGTAGATGTCTTAATAGAATGAACATCTAACGGTCATATAATAATATTTTACCCTAGAATTACAGCAGATATTGAGATAAATGTGAAAATTAGCCGAACACTTACAAAGTTGATGCATCAACTGCACGACGACGTCTGAATCTACCTCTGAATAGTTCTTCCTTGTACTTTTCAAAAGAATTTTTAATACAAGAACAAAGCAGAACTACACAGTCGACATCATAATATCCAATATCATCGGACGGTTTTTTTAAATTTGTTTCAGCCTTACGATGAAGTAAGGCATTACCGAGTGCACAGAAATTCTGACCATGCTGCAGTAAATTACATCTATTACAAAAGAGCTTGGGATTATTATTGTTAAGAAATCAAACTTACATATGAATATAAAAGCACTTTGATCTTCTGTTGAGCACAATTTCGCATGAGCTGCCAGAACTCCACACCTCTATAAAAATAGGCTCAAAAAGAATTTAACAGATGTACTATAGCACCAAGTCAGGTTATAGGTAAAAACAATAAAAAACTTCATTATAGTGGAATTAAAAAATGCTTTCGATTTTGAGGAAAACTTATGATGAATAATCTTTTTTTCCTTTTTGAAAAACCATCAGTTATTAAAAGGTGGTTGTGATGGAGAAGCAAAGAAATTTTACATTGAACGAACTCTTATGAAAGATTGAATTCAGGGATAACCACGAGAGAAAACGGAACAAATATAAACAGAAGTTTAAAAAAGTTAAAGAAAGATTCTTTACCTGACAGGGTCACTTGTGAAGTTTTCACCAGACGAATGCATGCAAGCAACATCACTACTGCCCGTACTGTTCTCATAATTAACGCCATTAGTAATTGCTTTCTCATCATCAAAATCACCGGATCTGTTTATGATTCATATTGATAATAATTACAGTAGTTTTATTTTTTAGTTTTTGTGCTGAAACAATAAAGCAAATGTAATTTTTTAGGAAATGTTGGACATTGAAACGACTTCTCACTCAAAATTTTCATTTTCTGAGCTTTCACTGGATGAATCTATGCAAATAATTTCGCTGTCTGCAATCATGCTGCACTCATCATCACATAATGATTTTTCCTCTTCTAAATCACAGGATTCGTTTGCATCGGTTTCATTGACAGTATTTTCCATAACTGTGCTGAAATGCACTAGTTATAAGTACGAAAACATGACTGCGTCAAGAATACGATTGCTGTCGCAAATATGTTCTCGTTTACCATTGAGGGAAAGCAAGAGAATATGAAGCAAGCATGAAAAGTAGCTTACCCTAGTTAAAACAGCAACTGCAGAGAACTACTGGTATGGAAAAGCGTTGAGAGCAGTTTAAATAATGATAAACTCAGATTAAGAATCCTGAAGTCCGTACAGATTCTGCATTATTATGCAGTTGAAAACGTAGAACTTTTCATAGAAATAGTTATAAATCATAATTAATAATCAAAATAGGCAGCAAACGATCGTAAGCAACAAAACCAGTATGTACACATTTAAAGCTGATTGCTCCGTTGAATAACTGACTTAGCGTGAAATTTTGTATTGAATAAGCCAAAAATTATAGGACTGTCCCTACTTTTAATTCTATATATTCCTTAAGTAACTTCTGACTTCTTACGTTTTAGCAAATCTGAGAACTGCTTGTCAAAGATTCCTCGTCTAAGCCTTATTGCAATTCCATCTTAATCAATTCTAAATAACAAACTCACTCTATCACTTGATTGATATTTTTTCCAATTAATTTTATAATAATTAAAACTGAATGACTCGAAGGGACTCAGATCAATAATAAAACCAATTAGTTCCATAATGCAATAGAGCAAAAGTCATTTCTAATTTAAAAACAACACGACATTTCCCCTTCATACTTCAAAATTATGGTGTATTTTAAGATTGTAATTACAGAAAACTAATTTCTTGCTCAAACAGCATCGGAATAAACGACCATTAGGCAATTTGCCGAAGTAGTGAATTCTCACAACGCACACCCGTGGTGTAATTGGTTTGCTTGAAATTGAAAAATTTTCACTGACGGCTGACATGAGGCAGAATTCCACGCGGCCGCGGTAGTAATTTCCAATTAAAGTAAAATTAGTTACAGCGAAGCGTGGACAGTATTTTGTCTAGATATTGTTAGTAGAGTTTTGAAGCATTTCTTACTTAATTTTGTTTGTAGAAATACGCATTTGAACTTTGCATAATTTAGTTCCATATCTGCTAAAAACTTCGGAAGGTATTGGCTATCGTTGCTTTCTATCATATGCTTATAAAGTTACTTCGCTTCAGTCCTACTAGTCTTTATCGTTCTCTCGTCCCAGGTAAATTTCACTTATTTCTTCAAATGCTACTTCTTTACTCTTTTTTTTTATTTTTTGAAAGGGCCTCTCTTGTTCTGTTGTGCATCAATAGGTAATACTAAGAATTTGTTGTTCTGAATATTTCTGCAATTGACTAAGCACTTGCAAATTGTGTGGGGATCAATGAGAAATCGTAAAGTATGTTTTAAGTGCTCTGCAAACCAATATTGGAAAAAAGAATGGCGTGTGTTGTACCTGAAAAGTTTGAACGTCTACCAGAAATAGCAAAACCAATACATTACTCATTAACTTTATCACCAGATCTGAACAATTTCACATTCGATGGTGAAGAAATAACTGATGTGGAGGTTACTTTCGTTCTTTTGATCAAAAATGTAGCTAGGAATTTATGCACTTCATTCGGATTTCTGTGTTTTTATAATTCCAATTTCAGCTGTAACTTACAAAAATAAGTATTGCATGGTGTATACTTTACAAACATTTCTGGCTATAATTTTTTTAGGTCCACATTTCTTAGAAAATAACTAAGATTTAAAATTTCCGCTGTTTCTAGTTGTTAATATGAATCATTATAGATTTTGAAACCCACTGACCACTTGAAGTTACATTCGAGTGAGATTGAAATCAAAAATGCTAAACTTATTCTCAGTGATGGATCAGGTAAATGAAGGAGAAAGTGATTGTATTGAATTTCGTTTTCATCTTCTATTTTTTTGTAATTTTTCCCTGCTTTCTATCCAAAATTTAGGAATGGATTTCACCCATTATATATTTGTAGTGCTACAAAACCTCAATGTAGAATATGACCAAAAGTGGATGACAGCAACTCTTACATTACCGAAGGTGATTTCTCCTCAAACTGCGAAGATAGCTATGGGTTTTAAAGGTGTATTAAATAATAACATGCGTGGTTTTTATCGTTCGTCTTACAAGAGTGTTGACGGAAAAGAGTGTTATTTAGCGACAACACAATTTGAGGTCAGCATTTCTCAACTCTGATCTTTTTTCAATTTTGGGGTCATTTTCAATTGTATGATTTATTGGTTTCATGATTTTCAAATCGTCAGTTGTAAATGTGTTATTAGTGTTTTTAAAGTAACTTTTTTACTTCTGTTAAGTACAGTCGAATTTTTAGAGCACATTCGCTCGTCTTGCATTTCCTTGCTGGGATGAACCTTTATATAAAGCGAAATTCGACATTTCTCTGATAGTGGACGCTAACCTTACAGCACTTTCAAATATGGTAATTGAAATCCAACGTTTATTTTGTATCTATCTTCAATTTTTTACTATTAGATTTTTCTAATATGCTTCATGGGAAGCCATAGCTCGTAATTAAATTCAATAAAATAGTAAAAAAAGCACAAAAAAACTAATTGTCGAGATAAATTAATGGGATGTTGGTTATGCAAGTTGATTTCTTATGGTTGTAGAATTATAAAGCGTATTCAGGATTGAGCGGAATAACTGAAAGTTAAGGCTGAAATCTCTTTCATTTATGTAAAACTTTTTTGATTTAGAATGTGATTAGTGAGACAAAGATGGAAAATAAGAAAATTGTGAAATTTGATACAACACCGATCATGTCAACTTATTTAGTTGCATTTGCTGTAGCGGAACTCGAATACGTTGAGGTAATAACTGGCATGCTTTGAACCTTTTCTCAAAAATTCATTTAATTCCTAAGTTACTAGTGTAAAAAGTACTCAACATTGTATTTACAGGCCACAGTTCTAATTGCAGTATGTTTATTGTGCTAATAAAATTTGTTATTCACTTTCTAATATCACTAGCAGCTTGCACTGTTTTCATCTTAAATGTAAAATACTTTCGTTTTACAATAACAAAGAAATTATTCAGGATAAGACCAGTGATGGCTGTGTAGTACGCGTATATACAGTACCAGGTAAAAAGGAGCAGGGAAGGTTCTCTTTGGAAATTGCTGTTAAAGCACTTGAATGGTATAACAACTGGTTCAATTTCAAATATCCGTTACCTAAATGTGATCTCATCGCTATTCCCGATTTCAGCATGGGTTATCATCATATAATTATTGCTCATCTTAAATTTAACAATTTAGTGGAGTAACTTTTTTTTTCAAGTTTCTGACTATAATTGTACTGATTTAAAGCTTTTTAAAACTTCTGCAGTTTAAAACCATTGTGATTTTGATCAGAAACTTTTAAAAAGTGTCAATTGCATTGCTTTTTTAGGTGCTATGGAAAACTGGGGCCTGGTGACGTATCGAGAAATAGCATTACTGGTTGATCCAAATAAAACTTCTACGAGACAGAAATCTCGTATTGCACTTGTTGTAGCTCACGAGCTAGCACATTTTTGGTTTGGTGATCTTGTAACAATGGTTAGTACTCATTTACTGTAGTTGTCATGAAAGGAAATGATTGATGAAGTGATGTAATGTTTGCTACTTTTTTACAGAAATGGTGGACTGATTTGTGGTTGAAAGAAGGTTTTGCTTCGTTTATGGAATATATGTTTGTTAGTGCTAATTATCCATGCTTCAAAATATGGTTGCATTTTGTAAATGACGAACTTGCTGCAGGCTTTGAACTGGATTCTTTGAGAAACTCACATCCAATCGAAGTATTATTTTTTACTCTACAGAATTTTATATTGTATTTGCTTCTGTTCTTTTTTGGCAAGAAACAAGTTTGTTGTAAGATTTTCAAAATTATGTAACTGAAAACAGTGTAGAATCGAGCAATAAAAAATAGGTGTGTTGCATAAGTGCTGCGACTTTAAAGGTACTTGGGCAGCTAACATCATGCATACTCTTACAAAGTACATTGTAGTATTTAAAAGTGATCATTTTTCTAGATAACATTTTGTGGATCACGTTAACTATATTCAAACTAGCTTGTAAGGCGTAATTCTAAAATTTTCAGGTTGAGATAGATAATCCAAATGAGTTAGATGAAATTTATGATTCAATAACATACGCAAAATCAAATTCCATCAACCGAATGTTGTGTAACTACTTAGATGAAGCCGTATTTCAAAAAGGGTTACAAATATACCTTGAAAAATTCAAATATAGAAATGCAGAGACTAATGATTTGTGGCGCGCACTAAGCGAAGCTTCGGGCCAAGTAAGTTCGTGTTTGGTCTCTAAATTTTTTTTGCTTTGCTGAAGAAGTCTAGTTTTTGACATGTACCTTAGAATTTATGTAAACATGCTTAATGTAAAAAATATTCAAGTTTTAGTTTTGCAAATACACGTTTCATTTTTCCAACGATTTTATTTGATCACATAATTGTTTGAGGCTTCAGAAAAAAAGTCGCGATGGTTTTATATCGGTTTTAATTTCACTAGAATTTTAGGACATCACGAAACTAATGTCAACGTGGACGCAGCAGATGGGTTTTCCTTTGGTCAGTGTCAGTCAGAAGATTGAGGGAACAAAAAGAATTTTAAAAATGAATCAAACACGCTTTCTTGCTGATGGCACTACTGATGAAAAAAATTCAATGTGGCAGGTTTGTCTGCATTTTTCCAATAACTCATATTCTTAGTGTAATTTTGTTTAAGTCTTTTTTGTGAGTAAACGTTTTTGGTAAGACGGTAGCTTTAGCTGCTCATTTAAAAGTACCCAAAATCTTTACATTTTTAGATTCCAATCACAATCTCTGTGTCTTCTCAACCAGACAAAGTTAAAGAAAAAGGTCTGTTAAAAAATGTCGAACAAGAAGTAATAGTTAGTGACGTGAATCCCGATGAATGGATAAAGGTAGAGTGTTATATACAATTCTGGAATCAAGCCAAAATGTAACATAATTTCATTGTTTTACTTTTTAAATATTGTAAATATTGGTAGCAGTTTTGTGGCTACACGCTACCAATTAAGTTTTGAGATCTATTTATATGACTTGGATATTTTTGTTCATTTGAAACCTTAATGTGATTTCACAAGATTCTGTGAAAGCAATAATTATTTTTTGAATTATATTATAGAGCCACAAAATTTGTGTTTTACAGCTGAATGTTGGAACTACGGGATTTTATCGTGTTCTATATTCGGATGAAATGTTGCAAGCACTGTTACCTGATTTTGCATCGAAAAAAATTCCTGTACTTGACCGATTTGGCATTGCTAATGATATATTCGCATTAGTAAGTGCCATTGTATTTTGCCTTTTCGTTGTTCATATAAGTGCCATTGTATTTTGCCTTTTCGTTCATCATAATTTTCATTTCGATCATTTTTTCAGTCAAAATTTTTGAACTAGTTATTGGTGGCCCACAATTTTCAGGTAAAATCTGGACGAGCTCCTGCAAAGCAGTTTTTATCATTACTTGAATCATCCTCAAACGAAGATGACTATACAGTGTGGAGTACGCTTGACGTGGGTAAGTCTCAGGATAAAGTTACTAATATAATTTTAAGTCTAAAAAAGCTGTCACTACCGTATTTTTCAAATCAATTTTTTTCAAAGGCTGGTCTTTTTTTCTTGTCATCATTTTTTTAACATGTTTTTTTACTAGCAAATGATTTTGCTCATATTCTCTAATCTTAAAGCTAAAGCAACTGGTGTAAATTTTTATCGAAACTAATTCAAGTTTTAAACAACATAGAGTACTTTTAAATCTTGTAAAAATGTAAAGCACCAAAAAATTTCAAGGAATATCTTCGCTGTCGAACATATTATCACATTATGATCCTACAGTTCGTGCGAAATTCAACGATTTTATTATCAAGATTTTGACTCCACTAGCTAATCGTCTTGGTTGGGAGGCTCAACCAAATGAAGGTGAGCGTGATAAGGAAAGTACTAAAAATTGTTTGCAGAAAACTCATCTAAAATTGTGTTCGCTCTTTTTTTTACAGTTTTTTGATTTACTACCCTTGTTTCTGCAGGCAAATTTAATATCGGAAAAACTTCAATGAATTGCAATAATGATATCTTTATACGTAATTTCCAGATTCTCAAGTGGGAATATTGCGAGCATTAGTTCTTAGCCGTCTAGGTCGAAGCAATCATGAACCAACTATTATGACAGCTCGTGAAAAATTCTTGAAACATTACAAAAATAAAACTAACCTAAATCCTGATTTACGACTTGCCGTATGTTTTGAAGCTTTTCTTCGAAAAAGTTTTTTTAATGATTTTGGTTTTTAATCAAACAAGTTTTATTTCCAGATTTACAGTATGATCGGAAGGCATTTTGGTAAAGAAGGATATCAAGAACTAAAGGAGGTTTGTTTCAATAATTTAATAATTTAAATTTAAAGAAAGTTGTACTTCTGTTTGAGCACATTTGATAATGTCAATACAATATTTTGCAAATCAAATCAATTTAAGGAATTTTTTTGTGGTTTCATTTTTTTGCTGTATTTACTTTATATGTATTGATATTTGAAGTAAAACAAAAACTGTGTTTCAAAATCAAACAAAACTGGCAGTCTAAGGCAATGCAAATCATACTGCAGATTTATGAAACAGTGGGATTCGGTGAAATAGAGCGCAACTGTATTGTTGCGATGTCACAAACACCTGATACAGAATTGCTAAAATCAGTTTTCGAATATGGCATTGAAAATGTAACGTTTTATATAATTTTTCATTTTAACAATTCGAGTAGTGAAATTGTTGTCTTTGATTGCTGGATCGTATCAAGAATTGGTTTGCCGTGAGTATTGCAGATAAAGTAATTATTAGTCAAGTACATAGTAATGTCAGTAAGATTTTTCGTTTTACTTCAGTTTCATATCTTTAATAAACAAAAAGTATTCATAGGGCAAAGTTCGAGCGCAAGACATCGTTTATCTTTTCCATGGCGCTTGTGGGAATAAGACTGGGCAAGATTTCATTTGGAAATATTTTAAAGTAAGTACTGTAATAAACATGCAGTTTATTGCTTCTTTTTTGATTTTCTCATTCATCTTTCCATCAGTTATTTCTTGTTATGTTCAAGTGCACTATTCTAGCAGTCTTTTTCAGAATTCATTTAAACTGTTGCTTCAAAAATTCGGAAGCGTCAATAGTTCACTCTTCCAGCACTGTTTCAAGACTAGTGCTGACTGTCATTGTTCGAGCGCAGTTGCAAAAGATATTGAGGTAAAGTAGTTTATTATGAAGGTTCTATTTTCATCATAACTTTTTTAAGTTTAGTTCAGATGTAACCATGATGTTAAATTTCTGTTTATGTCGTTTTGTCTAAATTTTGTTGAATTGAAATTTAATTAATTATCAGTAATTTTGGTTTAGGTCTTTGTTTGTTCGCAACTGAAACCTGATGAGGCAAGAACGCTTCACCGCACTACATTGCAAATCACTGAATCAATTCTGTTGAATGAGCAATTGCTCAAACGGAATGCAGATGTCATTAGTGATTACCTTAATGCTCAAAGATAAATGACAGTGAAATTTCGTTTTCAAAAAAGATGAGCAATCATTAAATTATGGGGTTTCTATCATGTTTTTTATTATATTGTTAAAGAAGTAATTTTCCTGGTATATTGAGTTCATTATATTGGTTTTTGAAAAAAGTTTTTTTCTTAAAATATGACAGCAAGGACTTTTAATGTCATAAATTATATTCAAGTTCATACTGAATATCGTCGCATTTATTGTTGCACTGTTTTATGCAATGCATTACACTTTGTTGAAGAATTTCTTATTTATTTTAATGGATAAATCATTTTATATCAAACCCGCTATGAAGTACTCTTGTATTTTTTTAATGCTGTAGTCCTTAAAACATTCTTCAGCTCCCTAAAAGTATCTATAAAACTGTTAATCTACTCAAAGATAAACATTCATGAGCTTGAAGAACATCACTATGTTTGAAGATTCAATTCATTAGTGCTGTTAAGATTGAAACATGGAGTTTTCTTGCAATTTCATAATAAACTTTTGATGAACTATTTGATTTTAGTTTATACCTCGCAGGAGAATGGACGAATAATCTTTACAGATGTTATTGCTCACTTGAAGTACAGATTTGTTTAGCAGTCAGAAGCAAATGTCAGAGTTCATGTTTCAAAATTTTTATTTACCAGTTCACACGAGGCACATATGTGCTGTTTAGTAACTGTAGAAAGTTCTGGTTGTCGACAGGTATTCCTGTGGCTGTGGCGTTACTGACTGTGATACTGTATTGCTTCCTGGACGTGGAGGATGTTCAAAAACATTTTCGAAAACTGGAATTGTTGGGTATGAACTTTTTTGACTCGTTTCCTGTAATGAACATTGCAAGTGTATAAGAAATGGGCTGTTACTGAAGTATTTTTTAAATTAGTTTAAATGATGAAATAAAACTGGGATGCAATTTGCAATGTAAAAAACTTTTACCACTTTGTGTAACTCAACTACTAAATTTTCATGATTATATGAAGTAAGTAAACATTACATTTACTTTATTGAAACCATTGAAGGAATTCCATGGAGAAAGGTTGTGATTAGAGCTGTGAAATTTAACTTCTTTTACATAATTGCGACCAAGTTTCGTGAAGAAGATGTACGTTAGAACCATAATACCAGCCAATAAGCTAAACATCAAAAACATACAAGCTAATCCGGCAAGATAATACGAGTAGCCAAATTTTTTCTGAAATTAAGAAGATGGCATTTGTGTGCAACAACTAGCAGTCGCGAGTATTGCATAACTTTAATAATGCAGACAAAGTAGAGAATTTATCTTTTCAGATTTGTAGCAAATCGTAACCTTATGAGCATTTTATTACACACTGAAGACAAGACACAGTTATATCTAGAAGGCTATTAAGAGTAATTAAGAGATTTTTTGAATGTTGGGAACGATATTAAGGATGTGTCACAAACTTAGAAAGGACTAAAAATAACCTTGAAAGTGTTTTTGATGCCAATTAAGAACCGCGATTCCAGCATTTCAGCGTTGATCATGAAAACAGCCAATCCAATGACTAATAACAGAACTAAAAAGTAAGCGCGTAAATTTAAAAGCTGCACAGAATAATGGTTTAATTTGTTTAAAATAAGATGGCTTGCTTTTACTGCTTATAAAAATCATTTTTAAGAAATGGCGTTTTGCAATTTAAGGCAAAATAAAACATGAAAAGCTTACAAGAACAAAAGGTTAACAAGGTGAAAATTACTGTGAATACACGAGCTTTACCACGTCGAAATATACTGAAGAGCAGAAATCCTGAGGCAATGATTCCAAACACGAAGGAAAGAAGTAGCAAAATTAGGACAGCATAGTGCCATCCTAAAATATGGACAAAATAAATTAGCAAATTTTTGACTTAAGACTTTTTGAAAAATAAAAAAAAACTGTCAAGAGAGTGTTTAGAAGATTTTATTTTAGGGAGGTTTTTTGCTTAGTCACACAAGTATTTGAACATTTGTGATATTTTAGTGACAAAAAAATTGGTATAAAATTTTTAAATTCGATTTCTGTCAAATTTTATCACTAAAAATATTACCAAAGAAGTAAGGTGTCCGAATAAGTTTTTTGCGGCAATCACCAATCAGTAAAAATCGACAAACATCAACTTTTTCGTAATAATTAATTAGATTATCACTAAATATATACCAACAAGGTACACCGCCAGGACAATACATCCATAAGCCACTTTGAACGTATCGATGGGCATCGGTGTCCTCAGCAACCTTAAACTTGGCACTTACTTGAAAAATTAACTACCAGACGTATTTTTTATGTAATCAAAAAATAGACTTAAAAGGCAACAAAGTAAATGGCGTAAATTGATAACTCCTCAGTAACTGTAGTATCAAAACATAATCTTCCTTATAGTATATTGCCAATTTTGTTATTGCAATAAAATTACTAGCAAAGACTAAGCTCCAATCATTTACTTTTTGCATTACTTTGATAATATTAAACAGTAACCTGCCATGCAGGTGTCAACAGTGCGATAAACAAGAGTAAATTGCCGATGCACAGAAGCAAAAGCGCAGTTATCTGGGTTCTCAATAATGATTCCGTCTTATACAACAGCATTGTTTGCTTTGCAATTTAACGCAATTTCCCAAATTTTAGTACTTTTCAAATTTAGCAAACATTTTTTCAGTTTGCTTGACGAGGCTTTACTGCACTGATAATTTCTGAAA